GTTTTGGATTTCTTAAGTTCTGTTTTTAACTTAAATCTTAACAACAAAAATATTATAATTAACCATAGCATTACAAATTTCATTTTTTGGGTTGAATTTTTTTAAAAATTGAAATTTCAAGTCAGGAGCCAGTGTCTGCTTGGAAAGCATTACTGTAAATCATGTTTTATTCACGAGAACTTAATTTTCATGTAATTACGCGAGACAATGAGCTCGCGAAAATTTCATTCTCGCATTTAAAAGTATTCCTTACGATTATATAGAGGAAAAACAGCAATTCATGAAAATTATGTCTCGCTAATAAAGAGTCAATGACTATCTCGCAAAAAAAAGGTGTCATGAAAATTTAGTGATCTACAGTATCCACAGCCCTGGGGTCTAGAATTACGCTTTCCTCTTGTCGGGGTGAGTAAAAATTCGTACAGGAAAGTACAATCGAAGGTCCTGCTCACCCGCTTGGGAAAGTAAAAATAAATGACAGTAGACACTCCTGTTGTCATGGTTGTTGAAAGTTGTTCTTTTCATGAGTTTTGATTGAAAATTGATTTGAATTTACTCAGCTAGTGCATTGTGTGAAGCGATATAAAGAGTTTCCAAATTAAATGCACATGATCACTACCGGAAATACTTATTTGCTGTATATGAAAAACCAAAAAAAGGTACACTTTGGATTTCCCGGAATTAATACGAACGTGATTTGAGGGCTATAACTCTTTAAATTTAAATGATTAAGGTTAGAATTAACAAAATAAATGTTATACTAGTAATCTACTGAACAATAATTTTTACTTTAAAAATACAATTCAATATAGCATACAGTGTATTAATATATTTATATAAAAAATACAATGCAATATAGCATATTAATAAAAGAGACATAAATACATAAATATTTTAATTGGAGGAAAACTTTCACATATTTGAACCATGGGAAAAATGTTAGCCTGTAAATGGATATATAAACATAATCATTATGACAATAAAATCTTAAATTTTGATTGTTTCATGTTTTTGTTGGGCTGAATAAGGCAAGTCTTTGCCCTTGGGCAAGTTTAAATAAAAAAATTCTAGACCCCTGACAGCCTTTAGACTATAATTATGTTCCCCAAACGAAGTTGGGGAACATATTGTTTTTACTCTGTTTCTTCTTATTATTTTTCTTCTTCCTGGGTACTTATTTGTCCGCGAATGATCTTGTAAACTGTTCATCTAAAGTAGGTAAAACCTTTTTTTACATGTTATGTTTAAATAAAAATACACAACATGTAAAATGACCAATATAATTGATATAGCCATAACTTTTCTGTTTTTTGATGAAATGTGTTGTCAGAATATAAGAATATATATATTTATATAAAAAACGTGCGCTTCGCTACATTGGCTGAAACAAAAATCTCAATATAAATGCTTTGAAACTTAAAATTTAGTCATGTATTAGGATATGCTACAATGTGATATATAACAATTATAATGAAAGCACGCGCATGCACGTGCTCTGCAATCTGATTGGCTTACAATGAAGCGCATTGAAGTGGTAAAATTTTCCGTTTGGATGAAACGTTCTGAGTCATGTTTTGAACGTCAATTATAACATAATGGCACGCCCCTATTTTTAGAAACGAGAAAGAAATATTCGTCGTAATGAGGACACATGCGACAAGCAATATGAGTTACACTAAAATGGAGCGTCAAAAAATTAGAAGAGAGAGTTAGAGACTCCCCGCTTCTGTAAAACACAAATTGCAACGAATATGCACATATATACTTAACTATAATCACCACAACACATGTTTCGGTCGAACACGTGACAATTTCATTGGTTATTATATTTATGGAAAACCTTAAATCGGATAAACAAATTGTTTTATCCATTTCTGTTTCATGTTTTATGTTGGGAAAATTTTACCACTTCAATGCGCTTCATTGTAAACTTTTGCAGTCTTAGCCCCATGCCCGGGACCTGGTAAATTTGCAGCGGGCATGTGAAATTACATGCCCGAAGGGCATGTTTAAATTTTCTTTCGATTCTTGATGTTTACTTGCTATTTCTTCTGTTGTACCCCAGTTATTCGTGTAAACTTGCTATGTAATGTCTTAATCTGAATTGCCAGTCTACATTCGTCTTAAACTCACATTATCGGTACGACCTGTCAAATTATTGTCAATCGTAATCATTAAAGTGTTTAATTTAACCGATTTGTTTTCTCGATGTTTCTTGCTAAATTATAATATGTTTATTGATACCAAGTGCAGTGGACTGCTGTCATGATGATCATGATCCTATTTATGAAATTCAATTCAGCTTTACCAGCCAACAAACGACCAGCATGCGAGTCAAAAGTTGTGAACAAAAACACATACGAAAATGGCAGACAGGCAGGCCACGGTTGATTCAAAACTCTGGAAACAATTTAAATTAAAGACCGAGAGAATTTAAAAACAGAAACACTGTCCTTATAGTTATTATAAAAACCTTATTTTTTGTTGCACAATCATATCTCTGCTATATGAATGAATTTTGAGTAGGGCATGTACAAATTTCAATGGGCTGGTCTAAAATGACCGGTATACATGCCCGAAGGGCATGTGCTGAAAAAGAATTGTTGTGAAAACTGTTAAATGGCCATAACTCTCTTGATATTCAACCAAACATGACGGGATTTAGAACATAGATAGACATAATTTAAACTTAGACAAGAAGGTATGATTATCATGCACATGCATGCACGTGCGTGCACGTGAAATGAGTAAAATTACAAATACACTTCATTAAGCGTGTTTTTAATACTTTTAGATTAAATGCTTCAATATTAAGTATATCAAGATTTCTAAATAGTGTAGACAAGATGGCCACGCACATGTATTCACATGCGAGCGCATTGCTAAAATTTGAATATACTTGGTATACTTCTGAGAAAACGTTATAAAAGTCTTAAATGCATAGAGTTTGCCTTATTTAATGAAGCTTAAAGGGAATGAATCTTAAAGGGAATAAGGCACCAAAAGGGAGTTGGGGAGCGTTTGGGGAACATCTGTAACGGTTCCCGTTACAATTAGCTTAGGCTTAGGAAATAGGGTTTTAAGAGTAAATTTTTTGGCTTTATGAGAAATTGACGTGATTTGAATAGATAAGGAGATAAATAGAATCTTACTTCTGTAAATGGCATAATTTTTTATCTTTTTAGTTATTTTACACTATATTTACACCTGATGCTAATTTTTGGGTAAGAGTTCCGAAAAATGACGATGGCTATCCGAAGAATTGTTAAGAATAGTAAGCCTATATAACATATAACGAACGCCCCAAGATTTGATACAATCGAAAGTAGATAACGTCACAATAATAGATATTTCAAATCATAATATGTTTTACAGTGTGACCGTTGAGGCAAGCGCAGTTGTACCTTCAAAAATACAGTTGAAACATTGATCTGCCACTTTCAAACGTCAAGTCGCACGAGACATCTAGACTGTGACATCACACGAGAGCTCGTCAGGGTTTATGGAAACAGCCGAGCGTCTAGAAATCTGGTTCCCTGTCACTGTTATGCTTCATATACTCCGCATCACCAGGGCCAGGTGGATTATAATGGATTCAGGGCTAATCTGCCCTGAATCTTAGCCCATTGTGACGTCGAATTTGCTGCGCTTCCGGTAAAGACGTTCATGGTGACGTCGTATTTTTCTAAGCTGTCAATGTAATGTGTCATTGTTGCGTCGATATTTATTTCTGTGGTTAATGGCAACAGCTAATAACACCCCACGATTTTGCACGCATTGTTCTGACCATTGAAAAGAAAGCATAGAATGTAATCCACCTGGCTCTCCTGCCTTGGCAAGGATGAGACAGGGTACCAAGCTAAGCGTCTAGTTGAAATTCACTTGGAGCTCCTCTGGTGGCTCGTACCTTGCACACTAACCTCGGACGCCAAAGGTGTTCTGCCATCTTGCTGAGTCAGTCATGTGATCTTATTTGAATTTCATTCAAATGTTGTATTTTTAAAATCCGAGTTAATTTGTATTCATGCTTTCAAAGACTACTAAGCAATGGTTGTAATTAACATGAGGAATTACGAAAATAAAGAAACCTTCAAAGAACTTTACACTTTACACAGAGCGTAATATAAAATGAGTGACAAGGCAGAAATGTGTCAACTTGATGCGCATTCCTCCGCCTATAACATCCAAGGTTCGAATGGAGCGTAGCGGAGTCAGCCGAGGATTGCCGATTGTAGAAGAAATTTTGACGAGTTTTGTAAGACTCGACCAGTGAGGAATGTAGTGGAGTCAGCCGAGGATTGCTGATTGGTTGAAACTAATAGACCTATTGCAATTTTTGTCGAAAGACATTGCAGAGTTTTTTTGTTTCTTTTTAAGATTTCTACAAACTGAAAGCCTTTTATGCTTTACGTTATTTATTTATTCGCGCAAAGGGTATCAGGTAGCAAAGGAATTCTGGGAAGGTTTCACAACAAAATTTGCTTGACGTATGTACAGATTTCATTTCACATTTCCTCTGTTCTTACACGTTAGTCTATTGAGCTAGCTGCACTCACTAATATGTTGGCGGTGTGACCATTGGGGCGAGCATTCATTTTTAATTTAGATCGGGTTCGTCAAACAGCACGTGGCATTGGGTACGTCTAGACTTTGACATCACATGATGTCTGAAAGAATGGGTTACCAAAACGAAGCCTGAACTGTGCTGACTTTAATGAAGAATGTTTATTTACTATTTATCTGCAATACAGCCATAAAATCGTTGCAATTTCTTATTTTGCTGAACTTTTGCTGTTATTCTCATTAGAACGTAGCAGCTGTACAAAGCGACGCATTGTGGGTCCAAATGACTGCGAAAAAATTTCTATAGAATCTTCAATGAATGTGCAGTAGTTCGAATTTTCTATTTGCCAAGGCATTGTCATTAGAGCACGCAGTTACAAGTGTCGCTTCGCTCACTTTTATGTATCACAACAACCTTTTACAACATTATTTTACAGTAGGACAATGGCTTCTGGTGGAGAAACTAGCAATAATCTGAGCAACAAGAGACAGAATCGATTGGTAAATGAATTGTCACCATATCTGCTACAACATGCTTCCAACCCTGTGGATTGGTAAGCTAAAATATGTGTAATATCTAATTTATCTTACACTTGTAACTTTAAAACACTTAAAAATTGCTGACATTCCCTAAAAACATGACAATCTTCTGTATGATTTAAAATATTGGACATTTATTAAAATGTTGTGGGTCTTATTTTGGCACATTGATCAGGTATCCATGGGGTCAGGAAGCTTTTGACAAAGCCAAGGCAGAGAACAAGTTGATTTTTTTGTCTGTTGGGTACTCGACTTGTCACTGGTGCCATGTGATGGAACGGGAATCATTTGAAAATGAAGAAATTGGCCGTATTCTTAACGAAAACTTTGTTTCCATAAAAGTGGATAGAGAAGAGAGGCCTGATGTGGATAGAGTGTATATGACGTTCATCCAGGTATTTTATAAAATTTAACATGATACAAAGTCAGCCATTATACAGACCAATGAGACCGTTTGTGGAAATGTTACTTATTTTGATTAAAATGCATTAAAAATTAGTGGAATTGTTAAAGTCATTTATTATCCCTTAGGGGATATACACTACACTTATGATTATGTATAAACATATCTCTTATAGAATTTATATAATTTCTGGTGTTATCTTTAAAGATATATATGCCATATTAGTGTTTTATTTTTGAAGAAATAAATATATGTGGTGTCTCATCAAGTTATATAAGTTATATACTTTCGGAAAATAAGACAAGTCCACTCCATCACTTTTAAAAGTTACGAAATATTATTTGGTAAAATTTATTTTCTCTCCGAGTCGGATATTAAACCGCCTCTAATTGAAATATTCATGATCATGTGGTCTCGCATGCTCACAGCAAACAATGGTCCAATCTCGTGAATGAGCCGAAAAGAATGATGGTCTTCTACGTTTTTACTACACACACGTGGGTTAGGGAAATTTAGGATGCGATTTCAAATGACGGCTGGAAAGCCAATTTACAATTTTTTGAAACGTGTTTGAGAGAATTAGGAAGAATAGGTACTAATTGAGAATTCCCAAGCTCACATTAACAAACAAATTCTGTTTTTCTTAATTGTTAAAAAGTACTTTTAATTAAAATACCGCTCACAAAGTCTCCACAAGTAAATAAGACTCCAGTTTTTAAACTCGATATTCGTAAATTGCCATGTAACTTGTTGAATTAGTTGTTGCTCAGTTAATACTACATGTAGAAATTTAAAGTTTATGCATTTATAAAAAAGACTTAGGGTGAATTCACCATGCATCGGATACCCTTGTACTTCAACAAGTTCTAGCGATATCGCTACCGACGGAAAATTACCAAAATGGAGTTTAACGTTTAGTTTGTTATTAAAATATCAATTTGGGACACAATTATATGCCCTTTATTTAGAAAATATCCTCAAAAATCGAGTTTTTAGGAATAACTCAAAATTCACCATGGATCGGACATTGTTTACCATGCATCGGACAGACGGTATTTTGACTGGAAAATATCATACCTTTATTAAAGTGCTTTAAAATCCTTGATATGGATATATTTTTATCTTTTATCTAAGAATTAACCCTCAACCTAAATTTAATTGACGATATCGTTGCACAAATGTAGAACGATTCAAGAGACCTCACTCTGCCTTAAAAATGCTTTAAAATGCTTATAATGCGGTAATTCGCGCCTTTTTTCATGGTTTATCAATCTCTGGTTTGTAGAAATAAACTGAGTCAAATTTCAGATGTCATACATCGATAACCTGTATTTTGACTGAAAATATAGAGTTTTTATTTTCTTTTTCCGCAAAAAACAGCTATCAGCTGGGTTTTGTATGAAAATGGTAGTGCTTACCTTTGCATCGGAAAGTGTCCGATGCATGGTTAATTTGTGTCCGATGTACGGAGAAATGAACATACTAGTGAAAACCAGCTCTTAAAAGAATTATACGAACATTGAAGTGAAATTTCTTTAAAATTTGTGTAAAATTATCAATCTTTGACTTTATTCACCAAAGTCTGCCTCGTTCCGTTGAAGTCGAATTTTAAGAACGATAACTCTAAAAATCGCAAAATCTTAAATTCCCTGGTTGTTCCCCTTTAATGATGTAAAATATGACGTAACTTCAAGGCCATTCTCGGGGTATTTTTATCACAACATGATAATAACAATCGGTATCATTAAAAAATTTAAGTCTTCAGCTTCAAGACAGAAACAAATAAATACACGGAACTCTTAAGTTGAAAGAGAGTTTATTGTCTAAAGTTGTCCGATGCAAGGTATGTGTCCGATGCATGGTGAATTCACCCTAAGTTTCACATTTTTTAAAAAAAAATTTCATGTGCATTGATCGTAAAACGTGTATTGAGTGGCATACTGTATGTTTCGAAGTTGTACACATTGTAAACATTGTCAATACATGAGCACACCTCAGATTTGGTTGCTATTTATACCGAGGGATAGTCACGTGAAATTGTCTTTTCACTGACAATACAGCACGAGGAAAGTGTAAACAAACGGACCTGTACAATGGAGTGAGGAAAACTCTTAATTTTTATCATTTGATCATTTGTATGGAAAAATGTATGGGATTAGTAGATAATAATGTACATAATGCATTAAGCGTGTAAATGCTTGGGAAAATGCATCACTGAAAGAGATTTAAAAAACTAGCCTTTTCGAAAAACACATGTAGTACTTTATGTAGTAACCCATAAATGCATTTAATGCAACTCCTTGAGCTGATTGGTCGATTTGTCAGTCATGTTGGTTCCTCACTGAACAGACGTCATAAAAAATAGTTTCCTCGACCTGATGATTTTCGTGTTGCTTTTCCCGCGCACATGTGCAGATCCAGCATAAACGTCAGTCCTTCATGAATATGCATGAGAATATTGTGTTCTTTTCCCGACCAGTACTTTGTTAATACCAAATAATATTTCGTCAAATTTGCAAGAATGCTTCATTATTGATATCTTATCATACTTCAGATATTTTTGTTTGGTTTCAGCTGTGCAAAATTACTGTTTAGTAAGGCATACATATCTTTAACTGTTAGTGTTCTTCAGTCTTCATTCCTCAATGTACACTTGGAGGAAGAATCCTTTTTATATATCTTAAAATTAAACTCAGCTTAATTTCAAGCTAATTTACCAGAAAATTTTAACACAAAGATGATATCTTGAATACATGGACATCAGTCATATCCCTCCAAAAAGAAAGTACCTGGTACACATACCATACAGAAAAGGTATATGTGTAGTTAAAATTTAGATTGATTTAATATTTTCTAGGGAACCACCTCACAAACACTAATATATAGATTGATAGTAAGGGCTGTTTGTAATGCACTGATGTACTTTTTCTAAAGAAAACATCATTAAATAATACATATGTTTATATATTTAAATGGTGGGAATTGGATCTTTACAGGCTACTTCTGGGGGAGGAGGTTGGCCTATGAGTGTATGGCTGACACCAGAGCTTAAACCATTATTTGGAGGGACATATTTTCCTCCAGATGACAGATATTATGGCCGTCCAGGGTTTAAATCAGTACTCAACACCATTGCAGATCAAGTAAGAATCAGTATTCAACACTATTGCAGATCAAGTAAGATCAAGACTAGTAATTTACAGGACAAGTAGGAATCAGTACTCAACACTATTGCAGATCAAGTAAGCAGTTTTACTGATACTGTGCTATCCTTCCATAGCAATGTCATTTGTTTAGGACAAAGCCTGCAATCAAGGGGTGAGAGTTCAAATTTCTGTGTGATAATAATTTTGAATTTCAGAATATATTACACCCTATACATTGTTATGCCTGTTCACCCTGTTGTATATAGGAATTCAGTTCTTTTAGGGTTAATCAATTAGCTAAGAAAGTCTTAGTAACTCTGATTTATAAAGAATGTGTATCATAAAAGAAAGACTACCTGGGTAAAATATCCTGGTCCAGAATAGGACCAATTCAGAATCTTCTTTCTTATAGGATTTGTTTTATCAGTGATATTAATTTTGATACTTTTCATCATTCTCAAAAATAAAAATAGAAACAATCAGACTTACTCATATACATGTACATTTGCCAGTTCAGATTTCACAAAATAAAAAAAAAGAGAGAATTTTGTTGTAGTGGAAAACCAGAAGAGGTGTAATTGAGGAGCAATCCTCTGTCATTTTGAGGACCCTTCAGGAGGGGACTAGTGCCTCCGAGGCCCCCGGGCAGTCCCTCCCAAACTTAAAGGCCTGCACAGAGAATCTGTACTATCAGCTGGAAAGGTCATTTGATCAAGAAAATGGAGGATTTTCAAAAGAACCTAAATTTCCTCAACCAGGTTGAAAGAACTAACAATAGAGATATAATTTCTTATTTCCTTTAAATAAGGAATTGATAGTACTTTATATATGTAATATTTTGTCCAAGAAAACTACTTGTAGAGAAAAAAAATAAATTGTTCCAAAATAAATTTAAATGTGCTTATATGATGATTATTTTCATATGAAAGCTATTAATATCAAAATTATTTTTCCAGTCAACTTCAACTTCCTGTTTCGCATGTATGCCAAATGTAAAGATACATATAGTGATATGGCTAAAAGCAGTTTGGAAATGGCAACATTTACACTGAGCAAAATGGCAAAGGGAGGAATATTTGACCATATATCTAAGGTGACATTTTCTGATTTCATTTGATAATTCAATTTTAGTTTATCTGATCTTTTACAATTAGAATTCCCTTTCATTGACATACATGTTTGTGCAAAATGCCCATGAGTATGTTGTATATTTCAAGTGTGTATGTGTGTGTGTTTTGATAAAAAAGAAAGTATTCTAAGAAAAAGACTTGTCTTTTCAGGGCTTCCACCGATATTCTACAGATGCCATGTGGCACGTTCCACATTTTGAGAAAATGTTATATGACCAAGGACAGCTTTTGTTTACCTATGCTGAGGCTTATCAGGTACATCTAATTAAGACAGTACATATAATAACTTAAAGAATCAATTTTTATCAATTTTGAAATACATGAACATACACATTTTTTTTTATTGGAAAACCCCAGGATAATGCAGTTGTCTCTCTGTTTCAGATCACAAGAGAGGATGAATTTTTCCAGGTTGTGAGAGATATTGCAGAATATACAATGAGAGACTTGTTACATCCTGTAAGGTATTTCATGGCCTAAAATGTTCAGCTGTTGAAACTATCCATTGATTGAATTTAAGTTAGTCTTATACTTTGATTTTCTCTATAGACTGGAGGATTTTACAGTGCTGAGGATGCAGATTCCCTGCCAACAGCAGACAGCACCAAGAAAAAGGAGGGGGCATTCTGTGTGTGGACATATGATCAGATACAAGAAATCCTCAGTGAAAAGTTCAAGGACAATCTCACCCTGGCTCAGGTCTTCTGCCATCACTTCAACGTCAAGGAAAAGGGGAATGTCAATCCAATGCAGGTTATTGTCTTACAATACTTGATATTATCGTAATTTACGGAATATAGGTCGATACTTTTTTTCTCAGAACCCCTGGGGTCAACCAATATTCAGAATGAGACCTATTTAAGGTTCAAGTTTACGAAAAATGCCCCTAAATCAGTAAAATTTACGTCAATTTCAATGCAAATTTGTGCCACTTTCGGAAATTTTGGGATTTTTTTTGCAAAAAAATTAATGTCCCGGAAAACAATAACATATTTATTCTAAAGCTTACTTTAAATAAATTTCATTAATTCCATTAATTATCCATTGATGACAAAGGAAAACAACATTGCTTCATCTATTAAATAATTCCTCAACGTATTATTCATCATGCGGTATCCATCTTGTGAAGTTAGGAAGTCGCGATCGTGTACTAAAAGTAAAACCGCAACCGTATCAAAATTTAAAATACGGAAATTTTTCACGATCACAACTGTAGTGCTTTACCATTTATTACCGGTAGTAGCGATAAATTGAAATAGTATATTAAATATTAGTAATGAATACGGGTGACAGAAATATAATTTAAGACAGTAATATAATTTTTACAAATATTATAAGGTTTATTAAAAGCTTCTTCGTACACAAGAAGTACATTGAATTACCGGTATACAACGATTGGCTTCTAACAGAATTTTAATTGTCTGACATATAAAGGGATTTACACTGTGTACACAAAGGTGTTAGCACCTGTGTTGGTTTAAATGCCTGCAGGGCATGGTTAAAAAACCCACGTGTCGTTATAGGGTATTAGTGTTACCGTAACACATCATTGAACAAACAAAGCTGTGAAATTCATGTTGACAGTCAAATTGTGAATGTACTCTCAATCAAATTTATAAGTTAAACTTATAGGGTGTTAATATGATTTCAATTCTTTACTGTTGCTTGATATATACATTCAATGGTCATTTGCGTGTTTTAGAAAAATCCCTGGAGAAGAAAAATAAAAATGGCAGACATCGAAGTAATTGTTGTCCACCGGTAAATAATGTCTCAATAAAGTTTATTAGGAATGTGTCCAAGTTGTTCTGAAATCGGAATTACTATTCTTTGGTCTCGGGTATTTCCCGAACTATAGCTGTAAAATAATAATGTATTTACATGTTATTTGTGCCTCTAATTTAACAACAGTGTGAAACTACGGAGGCATTGAACAGGCAAGTTAGAGAAAAATAAGTAGTAACACAATTCAAAGAATTTTTAACTACAATTTTTAAAAACTTTATTTAAATGCTCTACTCATTAAAATACCTGTGTATTTTCTTGATACGTTCATGTCACGGAATAACTCTGGTAATTTTAGGGGTTTACCTGTTCTGATACACTGTATCTGCGTAAGAATCTTTAGAAAACAGGAAACAAAGCCTCGTCCTATATAGTAAGTTCGTCCTATCTTAGGATTTTTCAAAAATTAAGGCTGAAAATGAGCCTTTCAACCTATATACCCCATCAACCTATAATCCCGAAATTACGGTACATTGAATTTGAAGTAATTGCACAGAGACTATAAAAAGTATTACAGTCGCACCTGCTGTTATGGCCACCCTTAATCAGCGGCCACTCCTCATGAGCGGCCACTTTTAATCCCGCCCGTTCATTTTTTCACTTTATTTTAACTCATTTAAGCGGCCACCTGTCTAACGCGGCCAGTGGACAGTGTTTTTAGGTCCCGTGCGCTAAAAATGCCTGTTTTCAGCGACCATTTTGTCTGTTTTGTCACATGACTTCCATCTGACACGTGACCTCGTATCCTCATACAAAGCCAAACATGAACAGCTGATAATGAGTTAATGACCAATAATTGCAGGTTTAATTTGAATTCTGACAGGATTTAATGATTTAATTAATATGATTTATTGTTAACAAATGTTTTTGGTGTTCTTTATAAAGATACGAATGTAAGTTGTTGAATATGGTCATGATATAAACTCAATACATTAATTACAATTTCACCTGAGGTTATCAAGTGAAGCGGCCAGTCTTGCGTTTAACCTTTTATGTTATATAATCAAATACATATCTAGAAAAACTAAAAAAGCTTTACACAGCATCAGGGAAATGCTGAGTTGTTAGAACATTTCATAATTTCGTGTGATGTAAATTTTATGGCTGTAAAAAATTAAATTAAAATTAAATTAAAACACACACAAAAAAAAAAAACAATAACAGATTTCTTTCAGAAAGTCATGTAAAATGAAATATAAGAAAAGGGAATCCATGTGACTTAAAACTTCCCAAGTTTTTTAAACTTGTTGAAATTGTGGATTTGGATACCTGTGAGAATAACTGGTCGCAATTTTTTATTCATTGGTTTGAAACCTGGAATAAGTGGCCACCTGTCTTATGTGGCCAATTTGTCATTCTCCCACAAGTGGCCTCTTAAAACAGGTTTGACTGTAATTTTCAAAAGTTTTTGAAAAAGTAGCTCAAGATGGTACCTTAGCTTTAAAGGTACTTGGACACAGATTTGAAGTTATTATTTTCTCTATAATATTACGATTTATATATTTTGATAGCATTTCACACAAAAATTAATTATATATCTTATTTCAAATAAAAGATATCTAAATTTCAATTTTTTTGGCGGGTTTGATTGACACATCCTTGCACTTTCACAAATTAATTTTATTCTTAATCCTTAGGAGAAGTGGTAATCTCGTTTTGTATAAATGAAAAATATTAATACTATAATCCAGAAAATTCAGAGTAGACATTTTCGAAAGCAAAACAAACACACAATATATCGTCAGTCCGTGCAATTGTGGTAAGCTGACTGTGACGATTGAACGCACCCGGTGAATTGCAAAACATAAACAATAACAGAACTTGAGCCCTGTTTACAAAAACTGTGTACATAACACGAGTGTGCTCGATTTGCTAAACTCTGTAAGCAACTTTTAGTTCGGAATGACGATACTTGTGAAGGAGTTTTGCTTTCTAACATTTCAACTCTGAATAAAATTATTTTTCTGGATAAAAGTTTTAATATTATTCATTAATACACAACAAAATGGCCACTTTTACTTAGGATTAAGCATAAGGTAAAAATTTGTGAAAGTGCAAGGATGCGTCTATCAAACCCGCCAAAAAATTTAAAGTTTTAATTCCTTTTAAATGAAATAAGATTTTCTAATTAATTTTTGTGTGAAATGCTATTAAAATATATAAGTCGTAATATTATAGAGAAAATAATAACTTCAAATCTGTGTCCAAGTACCTTTAACAATATAGTCCTCTTTGATTTCATATACATGTAATATGTTTTTGGGAGAGGGTTAAAATATTTTTAAATATGGATGATTTCATGCAAAATAAATCTTTCTTTGGATTTGACTGCCTTCAAATAAGAGGAACTTTTGTCATTTTTGTATTAAAGCTAAACCTTAATTTGCTCATACAGATCTAGTGAATTACAATTGCATATTACCAGACATCTCCAACTGCCATGGTAGATCTTACGTGATGTACTGAGACATCACATGTTAAAGAAAATATTAGTTAGGATGTTAAATAAAAGGCATGTAAAAGAAAATATTAGTGCAAATAAATTTTATCCTCTTGTATCATTAAAACTTGGATAAGTAAAAGCATTCAATGTAGTTTTTTTTTCGATTATAGTGTAAATTTTTTTTATTACAGCAAAATACGAAATAGCGGTTAAATTTTCAATAGCTTGCTGGATAGCTCAATAGGGTATTTAATTTGGTCTAACAAGTATCCCATTAGGTTTGAATCTAGGTCATGAGGTTACTCAGGTGTATCATTAGATTTTACAGGTAAATGTGAGTTGATTTCAATGTTGTATGAAGCCACATTTATGGGCTAAAGTGTTATGCAGTAAATACATGCAGTACTTTTATTTAATTGCAAATATTTTTTGCAGAGTTAGTGAATGACAGCCCCTATTTTCTGTTCTTACAAAAGGTATTGTTTAACAAAGTCAGGAAGTTAGCTCCCAACTCCAATTTTCCCACTTTATGGATTATATATAAACAGGCATATATTTGTAAACAGAATAATATTATAAATATTTGGAATGATATAAATAACATATATAAAATGTATTGAATTAATTATGATAAACATTTCTACACCCATCAAATTTCTCTATATTCATGTCTGTTACTCTCTGAAAAAAAAATTCTCTGAAATTTGAATTGATTTAGAGCTTGTTTTACAAAAGAACTTATATATGTGACTAAGATTGGGTACTCTTGCTATTTATTCCATTCTTTACATTGATTCAATTCTTACTCTATTCTTTCATATTTTAAAAAATAACATAGAGGTAACATTATAAATTAAAGCAAATTCTCAAAATTGGAGAATTATTCAGTGATGAGAGTTAAGAACTTTTAGTTTTTATATATATAAATTAATTTTAAACCTTAGTAAATTTATCAAAATTATAAAATCAAACCAGTGAGTTTATCATGGATGATGAGATTTTGATGTACAACAAATAGTGTGCTAAAAGTTTTTGAAAAACCAATGTATTTGAATGCTGGATTCAGCAATGTTAAGCAGTTTAATCTAATGGGTGATGGTGATATTCTTTACCAACATTTTGTCCACAAGAGAAATTTTACCCTCTAATATGAAATTACTTTTACGTTATGAAAATAGATTACGATGGGTTTTTATGGTGGAAGTGACAAGACGTGGAAGGAATTAGAAAGGATAGTATGCAGAAGATATACCCATTACTAAAGAGCTAGAATACAATTTTACTGAAAAATATTTGCAATTAAAGAAAAATACTTGTTAGAACATTTTAAATACCCTATTGAGCTATCCAGCAAACTATTGAAAATTTAACCACTATTCCGTAATTCGCTGTAATAATAAAAGTACATTTTATGTGCACATTTGCTTGTGCTTATTGTTATACATGTACTTTCAAACTTCATTATCTCATTTTCATTGGGAGTAAAATAAAACCTTTGAGATAACTACATTTTGTACAAGAGGATTCGATGGAAATATCAGAGTTAAAATGCATAAAGAAACTCACTTAAACATAACCATGGTATTCATGATATAGATCCCTGTCAAGATCATGAAATTCTACTGTACTGTACACATTGCACATTAATATACCATTTATTTATCAGATTAAAGTTATGAATAATGTTGATCATAAAAAGATTTTTTTCTGTATTGTACACAGTCCACTTTTATATACCACTTATTTATCAGATTAAAGTTATGAATGATGTTGTTCATAGAAAATCTTTATTATTTATAAATCATTTAAACTCTACAGGATCCCCACGATGAGCTGAAAAATCAGAATGTGTTGATTGTTCAAGGTTCACTGGAAGACACAGCTCAAAAGTTTGCTCTAAGTCCTCCAGAGGTTAAAGACATTCTGGAGAAGTGTAGAGCTCTTCTATATGCAGAGAGACTAAAAAGACCCAAGCCCCATCTTGATGACAAGATTGTAGCTGCTTGGAATGGTAAAAATTTAAAACAAAAACCATAAAATGATTCCTATCAGCAGCTTAGTACTTTTTATACTTTATTTATTTGATATGTCTGAGATTTATATAAGTTCACAATTTTTCTGATCATTTTTCAACAGTTCTAGCTGAATTTTTGAGTTCATATTTCCATTTACAATACAATGTACGTGTATGTACATACTTTAGATATCTGTAGATATGTTTGGTTTTTGTTAATTCAAGAGTGTTGAATATTATCCTTATGTGTTTGAAGTATACATTATAAAATACATGTAGTTAAATACTGAAATATGTTGTTTCTGTCTTCATATGAATTTCACATTTTTCAGGTTTAATGATTTCTGGGCTCTCCAAGGCAGGCCAAGCATTGAAAGAATCAGCATTTGTGGATCAAGCTCTGAAAACAGCTACATTTCTGAAGAATAACATGTACAACAAAGAAAGCAACATCCTGTACAGAACCAGTTATGTGGAGGAGGGAAAAATCACAACAGGGCAAGTTTTAAGTTTTATGGTAAAATAGCAATGTTTTTTTGTAATAATTAGAAAAGTTCAGAATACCATAAGTGATAATCATTATTGCAATTTTGTTTAGTTGCCAAGAAGTGTATGAATCCAATTTGGAGATCTCAAGTAAATGGTTTCATTAGTATACTGAATCAAAAATTTACCTGTGGACAGAGAGGCACAATACTATAATATTTCATTTATTATAGTAATTGGAATTCATTGTGCAAGGGGGAAAAGATGAACATGTTATTGAATATATTTGTTTGGAATATAGTAATTTCTATATTTGTTTTGCATTATCAGTCCCTATATATTCTAGTCACATTTCTCAGAATGGCAATAAAATGTTAATTTTTTTTTTTTTTTTTTACGATTTTCTATTGTATTTTTGCTTTACAGGTCTTCCCCTATTGAGGGATTTGTGGATGATTACAGCTTTGTTATCCGAGGTCTCCTGGATTTGTTTGAGGTATGTCATGATGATACCTGGGTAGAATGGGCCGGACAATTACAGGAGCAGCAGAATGCATTGTTCTGGGACAGTCAGGGAGGGGCCTACTACAGCAACAGTGGAAAAGATGTCTCCATTGTACTCAAACTTAAGGATGGTTAGTACATTGAATGCATATTCAGATAGTACACTGTACTGTAAGACAGGGTTGTTCCTAGGACTGGGGGCCAGAGCATTTCCTGCCTGTTATGAACTAATCCCCTAGTTATTCTGGTATTCACTCTCAACCCCCAGTTATGGGAGGAACCAAAAGCTCCTTTCTACTTCTTTTCTCCCTTCTCCCTTCAATTCTCTAGGACAGCCCTGATTATATTGATTTATAGTGTAGCTGGACATTGTTCGGATACACTGTTCTAATGAATTTCTGCATTTTCTCCTCATTAAAACATGATTTTTTTCTAAAATTTCATTGATGATATTTGAAAAAATGAATTTACCAATACTTTAAGCTTTAGACTAACTATTAATTTTTTATTATGTTCCACTTTTAATTTTAGACCAAGATGGTGCTGAGCCTTGTCCTAATTCTGTTGCTGTTAGCAACTTGGCCAGACTAGGTACCCTACTGAATAAACCAGAATATCACAAGAAAGCAGCCACAATTCTGAAGGTGTTTTATGAGAGACTTACTAAGATTCCTATTGCTTTACCTGAGATGGTGTGTGGACTGATACTTGTACAAGACACTCCAAAACAGGTAATTGTAATTCTTCCTAAATCATGTCGTAAGTGAGATTTATTTTCACAATTAGCTTGTTTTCAAACATCAAAAGCAAAATATGTTCAGGTTTCCTAAGTCAACTAAGTCATTCAGGTGACCTATTCCTATCTTTTATTATCTGTCATTATTCATCATCCATCAGTTATAATCTTTTTAAGATTTTTAGTTTCTTCTCTTGAACAACTAAGCCAAAATCAACCAATTCTTGGTTAAAAGCTTCTATGGACTGAGGGAAACAACACAGGGAATTTCATGGTATATTCTTTCCTGGAGCCTGTCAGGGTTGGGGCTAAAACCATAAAAATTAATGCATTCTTCAAAAATTACTTCTAGATACAAAGCAGTCAGGTTGTTGGGATGATAACAATAAACATTGAGCTCCCAACCTAAGTCATGGATCCTGGATTTAGTTTCTGGTGTTAGATTGGATTTTATTAATTTTATATGAGTGAAATGTAAATTTATAAATATACCGTATACATGTAAATGTATATAAGTTTATTGATCATATAGTGAAAATGTATAAATTCTTTATAAATCTCTCTTCGTGAATATAAAGCACACAATCTAAGTGTATATAGTTATGATGATCAAGCTAGGATGCACCTTCCAAATTGTGAAATTCATGGCCCTTGGATCAGAATTTTGATGTTTTTCAATTATGGATTTCTGGTTAGAATGGGACTTACTAGTAAATCAATTACTGTATACAGGGTTATTTTCGCCCCGTTTTATTTTCGCCCTTTCACACTTGGAAACAATTTTGCCCTGTTTTAAATTCGACTAGTTACAATTCTGTTTAAGAAATCATGCTGTGTATTTTTAATTCGCCCCGTTTTAAATTCGCCCACCTGAGGGTAGGGCGAAAGGGGCGAAAATAAAACGGGGGCGAAAATTTCCCTGTATACAGTATTAAGTTTTACAAAATACATGTTCACATATAATGAGGAGAAAGATCCTGTCCAAAGTCACAATCTTCATATTGAAGCATTCACGAATATGGATTCAAGAACCCCTTCAATTTAGGGCTGGATCACATAATGTCACAATTTTTATGGAAGTTAAGCAGGGAAACATCTTGCAGAAATCTAAAAGATCATCTCCCTCTTTCTTTCCATAAAAAAAACAGCAAGGTTAAAGTAAAATATATGAGCATTGTGGTGCATAGGCCTCTTTGTTACCTAATCAAAAAACTGAAGTCTCTTGATTTTACAAAGAATTTTTCAAAGACATCTTTTGGCTGTTTTAATGAGGAGTTACATGTATTTGTTTGAATGATTTCTTGTTTGATACATGTAATTCAATGAAGCCTGAAATACAAGATCTACATTGTTGATGCTTATGATTTAAATTTTTTTCTCACTGCTGTATTTTTAATTCGCCCCGTTTTAAATTCGCCCACCTGTGGGTAGGGCGAAATGATTTCAATTTTAAAAACGGGGGCGAAAATTTGTGTTAAATTTCAATCCTTTTATTTTTCAGATTGTATTAGTGGGAGACCCAGACTCAGATGATCTGAATGCATTGATGAATTGTGTAGACAAACATTATTTACCAAACAAAGTTACAATTATCTGTGATGGCAAAAGTGACCAGTTCTTACTTGGGAAACTTGAATTCTTGAAAACTTTGACAAAAAAGGACAACAAGGCTACTGCATATGTGTGTGAGAACTATTCATGTGAACTCCCTGTAACATCTGTGCCAGATTTAGAAAGGATTTTGAAAGTTAAATAATATTTGAAAATTTTATGTTTTACACATAATTATTTGATACAAACTATTTAACAAGGTCTCTTTAAAGGAGGATTTCTGTACATAATTTTATCCTGAGTTTTTCAGGTTTATGAGACCTATATTTTCCCAATTTTAAAGAAATTGTTTGGAAATAATATGTATTGTAACAGCACTGACGGCAGATGACTTTAGTCTGTAATCCCTTTACAACATGTACATGTAGTTCATGTCTTCATGACCTATTTAATCAGTTGCATGACTTGTGTGTATTTGATGATAATGATACTACATAATTATTTGGAAATATACCTGTAATAATATTTAAAGTTATTTATTTGAGTGTTATGTTTGTAGAAGTGAAGAAAATAGAATAAAGATTTTTAAACGTATTCCGTTTTTCGGAATTCGTAATTTCGCATTCCTCGGTTTTAATTTTAGTCAGCAATCAGCTTTTCCAGTTTGAATAACATGGTAGAAGTAGGTGAACTTCTCTGTGTTTCAGAACCTTTTGTGCATGTTTTAGCAAACAAGGAACATGAATTTCGTTGTGAAAGTTGCTTGGAAAGGTAATTTATAGTAGTGTATGGTTTACTGCTGCAACTGTGATACGTGTCGTATCAGAACTTTAATTTATTTGGTCATTTAAGTTGATGGACTTCTCCACTGTGCACATTGTGTTCGTGTATCTGCAGATGATTTATCAAAGAAATTATTAACACTATCAGATATTATGAATCCCCACATAGACTCTGAACACAGGGAAAGTTTAAGATATCAACAGCAGTGAACACCTGTATGTATTGCATCTTCACTGTTACAACGTCAGGGGTCTTGATTCAACATTTTGCCATTGGACCCCTGTCACGGGGTTTGAGATTAACAGTCCTCCACTCGAAACATCTTGCGATGAATATTCAAAACTTGTGTTTTTCTACTTTTAAAATTACACATTTTAAAATAGCCCACATGGTACACTTTTATGAAAATTTACTTTTAATAAATATTTGTTTTTCAATTTTGTCCTAATGTTCCATTTTTTTCTCATGAAAAATATAAATGCTTTATATTTACCAGTGAGAAGTACTTATACATAAAGCGTCTGAGTGATTGTGACGGACACAATGTGGCATCGATTTATTCAATAGAAGGTGTGATAATTTGTGGGTGAATAAATTTTGATGTGGGCCCTAGAATTGCAAGGTTTAGTAGCCCACATGGCAATCAAGGATTACAGGTTACCGGTAGTTTAAAACCCTGTGTCATTTGATATTCTGCTGGCCAACTTGAAAACTATTACATAAATGAAAAAAAATTAAACATTGAAACTTTATTGTTTTTATTGATCTTTTGACAAACACATTACACTCAAAATTTTAGGTGAAGGAGACCCTGGTACACTTTTATGTCAAATGCTTACTTTTGGTTTATGTTGTATTGTATAACTGACAACTTGATAATGAAAGCACATGTCCAATTGGTGTTTCTCAAGAAAGGATGCAACTTACATGGAACATTGAATAAAATTTGGCAGTACTGCTTCCGTTTGTAACAACAATGTGCTTATCAGAGAGAATCATTTAGTTGTTTTTTTATTAACATGTAAAGCAAGGTCAAAAAGCCCTTCTCTCCTTCCATATACAGGTTTTATAGTGTTTGTCATGTCAGTCTTGCATCTTTCTGTCCATTCATCCATTACACTTTGCATTTAGCTTATATTTTGTAGTTTATATTACGTTCATAACTAATAATTTATATATTGGTAAGAGCTATTCAACTGCATCATTTTTACTTTGACCTTCACTGTGACTTAAACCTCACCTAGAGTTTCTATCTTGTAAATTTTTACTCTAAGGAAACAACTTCATGCAATGCACCATCATACTGAGTTTGTCATACCTTGAGAACCTGAAGATACTTATAAAGGTCCTTGCACCTCTTACTCTTTTTCAGAGCAGAGACCTTGAAAAGATGCAGTGCCTGTAGCACATTGAAATACTGTAGCATTAAATGTCAGGTATGTAATTTAAGTTGACATATGTATGTAGGAATTATCTCAATGTTACATGGATTAAAGCTCTGGGATAGGGCTAAGCTAGTGTTTATAGTTTTAAAATATTTCTATTTCTCAAAAAATCTTCATCTTTACTTCATTGCAGAATTTATAGCAGAGCTGCATGATAATAGTGCATTTGTTCAATTGAGATTATATTTTTATGTCCCATTTGTCTTGGGCTCAGGCCTCACAGTGTGGGGCAAATTTGATCATGCATTATGTATTGAAAGTACTTTAAAATCTGTAAAATCTTCACCTCAACTGAAATGAACAACACATTTTTGCACAATAATAATCATTTGAATGGATGAAAAATTATTTATCCTTCTGTGATCAATTGTAGAGGTCTGACTGGAATGTCCACAAAAAGGAGTGTCGGTGTCTAAAGAGACTACAGTCAAAGATCCCCACAGACAGTATACGACTGTTACTGAGGCTGGTCATCAGATTCTCTGTAAGGGATTGTCATCTACTGCCAGGGTTTTCTTGACTTAAAGAGATAATGCAGATATATAAATTGTTAAAATATTCAGGATAAAAGTCAAATTTGAAAAAAATGTTTTTTTTCTATAGTCCTAATATTTTTTATTTCAAGAGAAAACAGATTTGTTTATTTTTTTTAAAAAAGATTTTTCTTGAGGAATTTATATAATTAAGTTATGTCTGTGCTGAGACTCATCTTCTCTAGAGAATAATTGCATACACAGATCTCCATTATTTTCTAGGACTGGTGTCTTTCACAAGAGGCTAAAGGTCCTCTCACATTGAATAGGTCATTCAACGACCTTATGTCACGTAAGTTACTTTTATCAATTTAAAAAGGAATCATGGGCTTCTAATACTTTGGCCTTGATACTTTATTTGGGAATTTTATTACATGATTAAAGAGGTATTGAGTAGATATGCATATGAAATTAAGAAGTTTTACATTTCAGGGGGAAGGAGCATGAATTTGCAGGTATTTTTACACCGTAAAACAACAAGAACTATTCCCAACCCCCCAAAAAGTAATGATTTCAAAGTACATGTAAATAAACATATGTATTCAGCGTTGTTTTGCTCTGACTTGTAGATGAAAAGGAAATCAAGAGGGATGGTAAACGGTGTGAGCAGCTCTCCCAACATTTGTTTACATTACAGAAAGTCACAGCTGGGATTCTGGACCTCCCCTCCTCTCAAGATCTCATGCATATCTTTGGAAAGGTGGGGAAAATGCAAATAACATTATATCACTTATGTTAATAGATATCTTTAAATGTTCATTTAAGGTATTTCCATCCTCCTTTGATGTCATAGGTGTTTGCAGAAATGTTATTAATTTAATTACGACCAATAGTTTTACTGATTTCTGCTTTTATATGACAACCACTAATGTTACTGATTTCTATTTTTAGATGACAACCAATAGTTTTATTTATTTCGATTTTTAGATGACCACCAATAGTTTTACTATTTCTGCTTTTATATGCAGCCCATTGTTACTGATTTCTATTTTTAGTAAAGTCTCTAATGTCTAAATAGTAGAGCTGTCAATTTGACCTATTTTTAGTAAGCTGTTACTAGCCTGTCTTTCCTATCAAGTACATAAAACTTTATCATTGTTTTAATGATAAAAGACCCAACATTCAACTTATATATCCCCACTATCATAAAGTTTTTTTTTTGACACTGAACATAATTTAATGATTCAATGTTATTTCAATCTAGAGTGAAAAGAAAAAGAGAAAATTAAAATAATGATGATGCATGTACATTTAAATTTCTGTATCTCCAACTACATCTCCAATACAGTATACCATGAATAGTTGGAAGTTCCAACCACTCTTTCATCACATATTATAATCTCAATATCTCAATCCTTGGTTATCTGAAATTTTTTTTGCGTATCTCCATGGGATGTAAGCTTTTGATGTTTAACATTTGAATAAGTTGCAAAGATGAAGCAATATTGCTTTTTGAAATATCACTCATTTAAAATTTGCTATAAAAAAGATTAATTTAAATCTGTAAAAAATCTACCGGTATTTCAGACCCTCTCTGCTGGATCACAGATGTAAGCCCAATGCAGTCACTACATTCCAGGGGAAATGTCTACACCTGAGGGCTGTAGAACCTATACCTAATCCTTCACCCTCCAATGTAAGCTTAGATCAGTTTACAAATTACAGTAAAACTCGGTTATAACTAAGTCGCCGGGACCTCTGAAAGTAGTTTGCTATATCCGTAATTCGTTATATTGCTAAATTGCTCAAATTTCTATACCAATAAATGTTTAATTTCATTTCAAAGATACACAATATTCAATGCTATTTAAATGAATTTTTGCCTTGGAAAATCTCACATTAAATGTTTAATTTCTTTCAGATACACAATATTCTTGTTTTAATGGAATTTTTATTTAAATCTCCCATCACTTGTAAGGTAATTCATCTCCCTGTAACTGTTTGCTTTATGGTAATTCATCTACATTGAATTGTTTTGCCGTATAGGTATTCATCAGTTATATTGATCAACTTGACACCACAACTGAGAGAAAGAAGAATTTAAGGGAGCAGTACTATTTTGACTGTGTTTGTTCCTGGTGTCAAGATCTAGAGATGGTAAGAAAAGCCTTTGTAAATCTATACATTTTAAATGTTGCTGTTCAGAGATTGAATCTGATGCACTATGGTAAATTTCACACTCAGTGTTATGATAGCATTATGTATACTTTAAAAACCCCTATATCAGAGGTGGTAGCCATTATGAGATTTCTAGGCAATGCACAACTGGCATACCAGAAGCCTGTTCAACAGAGCAAACATTTGCAATCACTCACCAATATTCCTTACACACTATACTTTCAATAGAAATGTTTGAGAGCACTTGCTCTTTTGAACAGGCCTCTGGTAATCTCTTCTTAGTCCCTTGGTCATCTCCCAGAGGCCTTAACCATCAACAGCATTTTTCTCTATGCAAATCAGTATCTCAATAATTGTAAGGATAAGCAGTTTCTTAAAAAGCACCCATAAGTTATTTGAAGAGCACAGATATATCCCCAAACAATCTCTTTAAGTCCGGTATGGTCCTCCAAAGAACACAAAATGTTTTAAACAAATTAGGGTAGAGATGATATAGAAATAATTGGGAAATCACAAAAAAAGTTGAGCTTACTGAGATTTATGGGAGATCAATATCAGATTGAGAGATCTTGAAGAGATTTTGAAGACTTGGCAATTGTTGTGTGATATACATGGTGGAAAAATTCAATAGAAGGTACTGTTTCTTTTAAGTTGAATTTATTTATGTCTTGTTATCATGCATATCAACACAAGTGTGCAATGAAAACTTTTCTAATGAAAATCTTTTTTTTTTTAATAAGTTGCTTTATATGTAAAAATTCTACAGTTCTGCTGTCATATTTTGAGCTTGAAAGGAAATGGTTATAAAAAGTGCCAACACCAAAATAATAAAATGAAATTAGTAAAAGTTGTAATGCTGATCAACATTGATTAGAAGTTGAATCTTCAAGCTGATAAACAAATACTTCATGTCTGTCTGGCATGGAAACTGCAAGTAGTCCACTTGGACTGTAGGCAAGTCCGGTAGGTCGTTCAATCCCAGAATTCCTATCCGCCAGGACTGTCAGGAAGAAGCCCAGCCTTGAGAAGACAACCACTCTGTCATTGCCAGCATCTGCTACAAAAATCAGGCCATTTTTGTCCACAGCAATCCCTTTAGGGTACCTCAGTTGTCCTGCTTTGATTCCGTCATCACCAAAATGGAAGAGAAATCTTCCATGTTTGTCATACACTTTGATTTTGTGGTGACCGGAATCGGCAATGAAGATGTTGTCTTCGCTATCTGTGGCTAGGTAGGACGGGTTATCATAACCATCACTATGATCATCTTCCCCCAGCTGTTTCTCTTTTATTCCTGCAGAGGACGTAATGCTTACCGTCTCATATATCATATCAGAGATTACGAATCTCTCATCAGACAAGGCAGCAACACCAAAAGGGAAGGAAACTGTATTTTCAGTGTACCTTGCAGTAATGAAAGACACCACAGAGGTTTCAAGGTTGACTTTTTTGAGGCATTTTTCATTTTCATCAGTGAAGACAATCACCTGATCATTTAGTGAACATAATGACCTTGGGCAGCATCCGGGGAGGGGAATGACCTTCAGGGATTGGCCATCCCAGGAGAAAACTTGAATTCTCTCATGACCATTTTCACCAACTGTAAGCTTTCCATCTGATGAAAAGGAAATTCCATATGGAAGACCATGTAGGGAGTCCTTTGAGCCATTACCTCCAATCTGACAGAGCAGTTTGGCTGTAGGAAGACATTGCTTTGCTCCAGTTTTACATTTCAGTGGATTGACTGTTCCATTGCTAACAAGATTTTTCACATCATTTTTCATTCTCCTTTCATGAATCTCATGTTCCGTGGACCTATGTTGATTAAGATGGCTGTATTTTTTATGAAGGTCACTACAGTCCAACTTGGTGGTTCTTTCCCCAGGTAGGATTTTACCAATCTGTACTACACCATTAGACACAAACTGTGCACATTTTGGGATTTCCACTAACTGTTTGCTATATTTCTCCATAATTTTAATGTCCTGGACGTCTTTCACAATAGACTTGAAGTGTTCAGATATTGTATTGATGTCTTGAACTCTTAAAAGAGACTCCAGTCTTGACTGTAGTTTGGTAAATTGGTTGATGTACATTCTACATGTTTCTCTTCTTTGGCTGAGGAAGTCATATTTTACTTGATAATCTTTGTCTGTCTCATTCAACAGTCTGCTTTGTTCATGGTAGACATAATTAATTACCTTGTGGGAGTGCTTCCTAATTTGGAGTTTGGTCTGTTCATGTTGACTTTTGACATGACCCTCTGTATTGGCCAAATCAAACATTACCTCGTTCAGGAGGGATAATTGACTTCTAAGTTGAGACATACAATTTCTCAGCTCAATGCGTTTAACATTACAACTGTAGTCATTGTCCATAACATCATGATCTTTGTGCTCTCCCATAATGCACTTGACACAAATTCCCATGTTGCAAGTTTCACAGTGATAGCTGATTGGCTCTTTTGAATGAATAGAACATAAAGATTTTTCTTTTTCTGTGAGCATGGTTGATACTGAAAATACAACATGATTAGATAAAACTGAAGTTGTCTTGTGTTCTGCTAAACAAAGAGTACACAGATATTTTTGACAGTCTGCACAAAAGTTGTCCACAGGATCTTTGAAGTCTTCATCACACATGCCACAAGTATAGTCATCTCTTCTGTTCCCTTTATCCTTCCACTCCTTTAAGGCATCCTTCAATTTGACCACCCTGAAATCTCGAGGAAAATCACAGAGCCCGCTTCCAGGGGAATTAATCCAAACTCGGCAGGTGGGACAGGGAAACCTCTTCAGCCTCAAAGACTTGGAGACTTTTTTCTGGGAGGTTGAAATATGGTTCTGTAAGCACAGAGCACAGAAAGAGTGGAGACAGGGCAGAGCATGGGCATTCTCTAGCTCTCCCAGACAGATAGCACACTGCAATAGTTCAGAGGTCAAAGAGGGTTCCATCACATTCAAGAAATATGGTGAAATTTATCTCACTTTTTCTTTTTGCACTTTTTAAAGGAGTTTTTTTTTTTCAGTTCATTCTTAGTCAAATTCATCAAAACTAGTTCAGCAAAAGACTGCTAAGTTCAATGGAAAATCTGAATTGACTTTTCAAAGTCTGTTGATGTAAAGTTGTACTATTGAAAAGTCACAATAAACTTGTGTAGACATCCTGATCTCTTCTTCAGATTTAAATTGGAGTTCCTGTATGTTACAGTTTTTCACATAGCTATCAACTCACTATAAGATGTCATGACATTAAATATATCCTTAAACAAGGAACACACTTCATGAGTCCATGTCCATTCATTATAATTAGTCAAGTCCTGAGCTACTTAAGGAAGTGAGTAGCTGTACTCTATCATGCTTATGTGGCAGTGTGTTAGGTTAGTATCCTATGTGTTGGAGACAGATGTGGTTTTAATTAAACTTGATAATCACCCAGGATCAATATCCCTGTATTGTGAGACTTAGGGTGGGGAGGGCTTTATTGATGTTTTATTTGCATGGTCTGGGCTGTATATTGTAGTGTAGACTTTATGCATTGCTGCATTAGTTTGATTAAAATTGTTATTGTGGGAAATTACCATTATTGTATTGTTTGGGATATTTTGTTATTACATCTCATTTGGCTTTGTTCATTTCAGTAATTTAGTCAATTGAATACAATTTATGAAATGTATAGGCAACTGATATTAGTAAGAGAGGTCATAAAAAAATGATCAATAATTTTGTATTAACTTTTGACTTCTTGAAATATTTTTTGGAATTCATAGTATTTATTTTTGGCAATTAATTATGAAATCTCCCCTTATTTTTCAGCATATTATTAGAGTTAAAATTTCATTAAAAATTTAACCTCCCCCCCCCCTGACTTTTACAAAGTTTGTGATAAATAGGTAGCCCTTCAGATACTGAATGTTACATACCCAGTATAGATTAACAGATAATCTTTGTTTTGTATACAGACAGACCAGCTGTCTTTGTGAACAGCTGTGACTGATAGCTAGTGAATAAGAATAACAATTCATTCAAATCAATACAATTTAGAATATCTCACAGACAATAGTAAATTTTGTGTTTTAAAAAAATATCTTTGACTAGCATAAATATTTACACAAAATTATAAAAATCAATTCTTTGTTGGATTTGATTGATCATATCTATGAATGACTGTGAGGTTCAGGAAGTACATTGTACTATAACTTGTTTTAAAGTTCATGAGCTTATGATCAGCAAGGCGGACTGTGACTTGATAGTACTTCACTTCATTGATTTTTCACATTTCTATAAGCATAGGATTTTTCAATAAAAAAAATATCCTTTCAGCTAGTGTGTATATTGTATGACATAGTTCTGACAAAAAGTTTACTTGCTTATTTTTGTAGCATCAAATTCTTTCTTCTTTAATCTTCCCTAAATTGTTTTTGACTGTAGAATTTCAAATAATTTTTTTTTATCACAAGTAAATGACACACGATGAATGTATGTTTTTCCTTGAAGCAACTTTTTTAAGAATTAAAATATAAAGCCTTTTGCAGTTAGCACATGGTTTTACATACCAGGTATAAAGCTTACGCTTTAATACATACTTGAATATCTAAGTTTATAGCCAATTAATTTTTTTTGCAATTATTAATTAACTTCTAAGGAACTTCTTTTGCAGGAGAAAGCAAAGCAGGCAATAAAATGTCCCAAGAAAGACTGCAATGAAGGTTTTGTCACAGTTCTGGATGGTAAGTTACTTCTTGCTAATAAATGCCAGGCACATAGTCTCAATTTTGAAGAGGGGGCATTATCAGACAAACTAATTCAGAGAATTTGTGTCCCCCGCTGAGGGAAAAAGTAAACCACGCGCAGTTCGGGGGGAGGGGGGGAATCAAGTCAGATCCCCCTGACTGAATTATTATGCCATTATTGTAGAAGTATTAAATAAATAAATGTATACTGAAGCAAATAAAATATGCCAATATGGATATAAAGATTTGATTGCTTATTCTTTATTATGTGTATAGAAGATCCTTTTTATATGGAATATTTATCACACTGTAATTATGATTTTATGAGTTTGTGCAAGCCAGACCTCATAAATTTTTCATTTCACATGCTATCTTTTACTAAAAAAAGTATTTCAAAAAAAAAAGGTAATGGTTTGTCCGGGATTCGATCCCAGCACCTCTCACATGAGAAGCGAGAGAAATAACCACTAGACCACAGAACTGCTTGAGGCAGAGGAAAATTACATACTAAAAATGAAGTTACATACATTTATATATTCACGTTCGATATTGTCAAAATTTTACACAATGCATGGTGTCTAATTTAACCTTTATTAAACAGTTCTAATAGATGTAATAAGAATATAAAGTCCACCGTGAACCTGTTTTATACGTAATAACTCTCCTCATGCCCCTGTGCTAAAAATAGCGAGATGTAATACAATAAATACTGATAAAACAAACGGGGCGGGACACTTTGAGAGGGGTGAGAGAGGTTCTAGGGAGTTTTGGCATAAAATTACATTGCAAAAGCTCAAAATCCTCTTGAAATATCGCTCGGAAGGGATAATGTTATACACAGACAGAATGTATAAATTTACCATGTTATGCACAAACTTAGTTAAAAATGATGTTTCATGTAATTTAAACTTAATTTTAGTTAACCTATTAATAAAATCTTGATTACAGATGACATCACGATCACTTCCTGTTCTGCCTGTGGTCAGTCCATCAGTGATGAAGAATTCATTCGGAAGGCCTCGGGTCTGGAGGAAGATTGCCAGAGATGTCTGGAGGAGGCTAAAGCATCCAAACAGTCAAAAGGTTAACATACAGTAATTCTAGCTTAATAAATTCTATATATCTCCATAGAAATGACATGTTTAATGTAGCTTACATAAAAAATGCTAACATTCACATCTGACATAGATTTCTTGATTTCTCGTTGTCTAATGAACGTGATTCAGTTAAGTGTATTTAGTTTGAAAATTTCAATTCTTTTGTTCCAGATCCAGAGAGAGTTTTAAATATTTGTGAGAAGTGTATGAACTGTTATGCTGACCTGTTTCACCCACTGAATCTAAATCTGGTAAAGATTCTGGACTTAGCTTTTGATGCTTCCTTAGATTTACAGCAGTGGGAGAAAGCTGTGAATTTTGGGAGTAAGACACTACCAGCATACAGGTATTTTATTTAAAAAAATATGACCATTCCACATTTTCAACCTATACAGTAAAACTCGGTTATAGCGAAGTCATGGGGACCTGTGAATTTTATTCGCTATATCCGTAATTCGTTATATCCGTATAACGAATTCGTATAACCATATATAGCGAATTCACAATATGCTTGTTTTCCTTCAAGTATTACTACCAAATGTGTCAAGGAAGCAAATATTATGAAACATAACTTCGATAACTTGTTTTATTATGAACTGAATTTTATATACAAATGCTAAAAGAAAATAAAGTCAGTTCAATTTATCAAATTTTGAGATCTTTGAAAGTTTGTTATAAAAGATGTAAATTTCATTATATTTAACCTCAATGGGACTCAAAATCAGTTGGCTATATCCGTAAATTCGTTATATCCAAGTTTGTTATAACGGTAAAATTTTACAAAGATTTATTAAGAATTTTGCTGGGGACCCAGAAAAACTACGCTATATCCATGAATTTGCTATATCCGTGTTCGTACTAAATGAGTTTTACTGTACTCCATAACCACATGAGCAATTTTTAGCTCACTTCAACAAAAAATAGAGATGAGCTTATGCAGTAACCCAGCTGGCATCCAGCATCCAGGTTATATTTTAGGAGTAAGTCCATTCCCAAGTAACTATAAGCCCTACCTTGACCAAACTTGCATGGATGATGCATCTAGGGATGGACACTACCAGGCTTGCTTCAGATGCTGGATCTTAACCATGGTTTCCAGGTAAGTAAAGTTTTTTGGAGCAGGTCTATTCCCACGTCTCTGTATACCTTACTTTCATGGTATGCTGAATTTGAGGGAGTGATGCATATAGAGATGTACAATTCAGACCTGCTTAAATGCTGGATCTGACTTATATTTTCCAGTGGAGTAAATGTTAACCCTACTTGAACCAAACTTGCAAGGGTACAGTGGTATTGATCTCTGACTGCACAGTAAACTAGAAAAAAAAATGGTAGGAGATTTACTTATAGATACTATACATATCCCATCTTATGACAAAACATGCTCTAACAAATCAACAATATTTCAAATGAAGGCCACATATCCCTATAAATGGGGATTTTTAACAATTACAGAGGTTTTATTTGATCTTTCTACGTACAGGAAGTACTACCCTCCCTACAGTCCTAATGTCGGTATTCAGCTGCTGAAGCTGGGCAAGATTCAACTTTATTTACAAAACCTCAAGGAAGCTCTCATCTACCTGCAACAGGTTTGTGAATTTTCTTAAATTTTGACTGTGGTATTTAATAGTACAGTAATAAGAAAATACTTGCCTGAATCGTGCCACAATGACAAAAGTCATTTACTCCAAGTCAGAATTTCAAGATAATACAAACCGGCATAAAAAAATCTATGGCTCTCTGATAGTTTTATAGGTACTTGTGTAACTATTGTTTGTATTCTCACTAGTTGCAATATTGTATGCGAGAATATTATTAGGACAAGTAAATCTCCACATACTTTCAGGCTGATGACATTTTATTTGTCACACATGGACGAAATCACACTCTCTATAAACAACTCATAGAACTGCTGGATCAGGCACAGGAAGAAATGAGAACGAGGCTGGAAAATGGAAGCTAGATCAGACTCTGTGATTGGTCACTATAAATAATTCAGACTAAAATTCTGAGACAAACTTTCAGATTCTGATATTTGCTTTTCCTTGTTGATTGTTACAAAAAGTATGGAAAACAATAAAGATCGAATATTGGATGAATTTTGAATTTACTTTGAATATATAATTTGAGTTTTTTCCCTTGCAGTTCTAATGTTGAGTGATGAAGCATAACTGCAGTAGCTACTTATGAGGATTTATTCTTTTAATTGCTTCTATTAATTAAAAGATCCTTACAATTTTCGCGAGATAGTCATTTGCTCTTTACAAGCGAGACAGAATTTTAATGAATTGTGGTTACGGTATTTATAATTTATAATTGTGGTTTAGTACAATTCTCTGTTATCCTTTGTCTTTCAGTAAGGCATGGTATTCTCAATGTTACATAATAAGTGTCTGAAATTTACACAGCTTTCATTCACTGTTGAAATATACAATATGGGATAGAAATTCGGGTGAATGTCAAAGAGTGTAGCAAATATCCATGAACAGCATCTCGTACGGCAAAGAAGTGGGGCTTAATTAAGTTGTCTCATCTTTGTAAACAACAATTTAATGTTCCTGATGTTATTTATTTCTTAAACAAAGAGAATCTATTCACCATTTGAGAGATGCTTATTACTTAGCACAGAGAATGCCATGCTTTTCTGAAAGTGCAAGGATGACAGAGAATTGTACTATATCATCTTGAGGAATACTAAGATATGCGAGAATGAAATTTTCACGAACACATGCACTGTCTCGCTTCTTTACACGAAAATAAAGTTCTCACAAATAAAAAGTGATTTACAGTATTAGTTTAAAATCTATAAATTTATGTTCTTTTGGTTCTCATGTACATCAAGTCTTCTTTATATTGGTAATAAAAGTGGAGTAATTAAAGAAAAGAACAAAACTGGGACTGAACATTGATTTAATACTAGATTACTGATTCTGACAATATACAACATAAAGTCATTTCTTAGTTTAACATAGAAATAAAGAACAGGGAGAATCATATCATTCTTGAGAGAACTGGGAAAGCATAGGTAAGAAAACAAAATGCAAACTTATACAGAAAAAATTTTTTTTTTTAAAGAATCTATTTTTCACCTGCATCACTTACCTATCATTTCTTGATGTTATTATTTCCAGAGATTTTAAGAAGAAAAAACAATGGAATGTAATTGTATGGCTTTACATAGACTGATAAGTTGTGTCTTTATAAGTCATAGTGATTCTGATTATAAAAGATACCTACATAAATTTTAAAAATCAAATAATTGGCAAGATTCCTTAAATTAAGGCAAGAGTACAATTATACAAAACACAAGGTACCATTACAGACATATAGCTAATGTCTTCTCCTTAAAAATTTTCTCTACGTACTACAGTTTTGAAATGCATTTTGCATATTTCCTAATAACTCAAGCATCAAATGCCTTATATCAATAGAAATTGTAGTAAAGCCTTACTCTTTATAAAGTTATAAGAACTTGAAGTAAATTGCATCAAAGATATGAAAACAAAATCATCAATACATTAAGTTATTAGATGTATGTCATTGACATTTTTTTCATCTCATCATGAAAGCTGGCCAGCCTTTATATAACACCTGCCAACCTATATTTATAATTTATAAGATTATGCTTATCAGATTGCATTGTTAATGACTCAAAAGCAAATAATTGTCAACAACAACAGCACAAGACATATGTGGATCTTTCACAACTCAAGGTTAAACAATTCTAGAGGATTAAGTCTTCGATAGTTTTCTTCATTGTACATGTATTTAATGTATGGCACAGACAATATGTTTTGTTAACCTTAAAGCTTATGTATAATTTGTTTCTTTAGCTTCTGATACATCATACTTAAAGTCACTAGTATTAAAATGAAAAAAAAAATGTAATATTCACCTCTGAATCAATCAAGGTCATAAAATAAAATAAAGTTATGCATGTATGTAATAGAATTGATCATATTTAAATCACATGCACTATATTTATTACAATTTATAATGCATATGCTCTTTTTCTCTAGTTCTTTCTCTCCCCCAAAAAATCCAGATATAATTACATTGATATATGTAGACATTTGCAAAAAAAAAATTAACAATTAACAAATAACAAGTACATATAGATAAATATAGAATTTCTTTGTGCCATATAGAATGTTGGATTTCAAGACCAGCTGATATGCATCAGTGACCAGCTGATGTGCATCAGTTGGTAAGTATCACAGGATTTAGAACTCTTTTTTCTCACTGGGTGAGATCACGTTTTTCTTTCCTAGAATTTTGCGTAGGTCTTTGCTCATGTAGTAAGGCTTGTCCGGAGAACCATCATTTCTCTCCAAGTCCTCCACTACAAGATAACATGAAAAACGTGTGTAAGGTCTGGTCATGATTTATAAAAATAAAAAATTATTTATTCCAAATTTTTCAGTTTCATTCTTTGATTATTCATTTTTACCGAAAATGTAAACCTTTGATAATAAAAGGAAACATTTCTAGTAAAACCATAATGGTAACTTAAAAATGTTAATGAACACTAATGCATTACAGTAGATTCCTTATTTTTAGTAAGTACTAATTATTATCGCAAATGGCCTCTTCAACATCAAATCATGAGAATAATCATTTGCAAATGGACAGTTGATCAAGAGGTTTTGCATAGATTTCAGCTTCATAAAATAAAGGCAAGTAATTTTATTTTGTGTGCGGTGCTTCTAGCGAAATGACACTATAATTAATTCCACACCTACATATTTAGGAATCTACAGTATTATTATTTTGGGATTACAGGAGAAATTAATTTAGAGGATATATGTTTACCAACTTAACTAAGCTCACTTACAGAAGCAGAGAAATAGAGTGTCTACAGCCATCTCGTACACACTGAAGAAACAGCTGGCTATCACATAGGAACCAAGAGTTACAATCTAAAAATCAAGGTCAGAGAAGAATTAAAAACATTTCAAATTCATCTGACTTCAGAGTTTTATACATATTCTGCATTGATACAATTGATAAGATCTTGCTGTTAATGGTATCATTATTTTAGGCATACAACACTGAGATGCACTTACCACAATTGGGACTACGTAGAAGTTAAGGGACGGAGTAAAGGAAGCCAGGAAATCAATCCGGCCATCAAAGAAAAAGTAGGAAGTGGCCGCTGAAAGGTAAAATGATGGGTCTGTATAATGTAGGTTTGCCATTTTTGTTTTCTTCTGATATTTTGAATTCTAAGACTTGTCAGTAAATATAACTTTCATGTTGTTGTCAGATGATTAATACTGTATAATCCCTATTAACCCCTGCCCCCTATAAGCGCTCCTAGGTCTTTTTTAATTGTCAGGAAGTAAGGGCCCCCTGTACAGTGATTAAAATCATCTAGAATCGTATGAAAAGTCTGCCAAAATTGAAGTGAACATGAAACTTATCTATTATCCAATTTCTCAGTGGAAAATGAATCATTAAGCATAATTTGGGTGGGTCACTTAAAGAAAAGTTAGACTTTATTTTAGTGGTTACTGGAATTTTTTTCTCAAGATTTTTTTTAAAGTTAAAAAATGATATTAAATATTATAAAGAGAATACCAATTGAAAATAACCGATTCCTTTTCACAATTTTCTAAACCCCCAGGGCGATTAATAGGGATTATACGGTAGTTAAAGAAGTAAATATTTTATAATCAAGATGAATCTAGAGCTGCTGACTTACCAGCAAAGGCAACAACCACCAGTTTACTGACGAATAACAGGAAATCTGTCACTTTGTCTATTACCACCACCCTACAAACACACAAAAAAAGAAATTAAAGAATTGCAAGAAATCAAAGACTGATGCCACAAAATAATAATATGTTGACATTTTAAGGGAGATAACTCACCTGACAATATTTCTCATGATCAGCATAAAGGCATTCTTTGCTGAAGTGCAGAAGTTTTTACCATGAGCTGCAATCTGTTATAGAAAGGATGCATCATCTTAATGATGTCTAATTTATATTAATACTGTAGATTCAATTTGTTGGGTTCTGTTTCAGACAAATGTACACACCTTGAAATATGATATATGAATAATTTAAAATTTTGTATAAGTGAGCTAAAAAATTACATTACTTACAAGAATGTAGGCATTTTTGTTAAGGAATTTCAGGAATTTTTCAAGGCACCAAAAACAGCATTTGAGACATCTGAAATAGAAAAAGGCACTCTTTTCACTAAAAAAAATTCTTTGAGCATTTTTCAATTAAAATGCCGAATAAAAACATTAAAACATGAGTGTTTGGTACTCCATGTTGTTATTATATGTAAATGATATCAACATGGATATGTGCCTTCACTTACTTGACAAAAAATTTGGCCACCGGGTTCTCTTTCCCCTTAAGTTTGGCGTCCACATACTCCAGAGCCACCCTGATCATCTGTACAATGGCTATAATCAGGGAGCCAAATGCCAGGGACCCCAAGTGGTACCTGAGGAAAAATTAAACAATCAGGAAACATTGTGAACATCTTAATGTAGGTCTGGCAGTGAGAGATAATTATTAATAATGCAATATGTGAATCAAAGTTTTATATATATATATAAAAGTTTTTTTTATAGAATTTATACAGTACTAAATAAAATTATACTTTTCAAAATTTTTCTTACTATTTATGCTAACATAATCATTTAGTGGGGAAAAACAGCAAAAAATGTAGTAATTAGGATTTATATTATTGTTTTGGGCAGAACTTGGTAATTGTTTGTTTGATATATTTTATTATATTTTTCGTTCATAGCACATACCTAAAACACCTCCATAATGAGCTGAGGATGGGAAATGCTGGAATGTCTTTTGGTTTCTCGAATGCCCAGTAGTACGAAGCAAAGGCACCAGCCAGGGTCATTTGACCAAGAGCGATGACGAAATTTACCAGCCAAAACATCATAAAGAGGTTAAAGATTTGGGAGTAAAGGACAAAACTGAAAAATAATAAAACAATATAAATGTAACAGCTTCATGTTGTAGAGTTAATTTTTGGTCTTTATTGTGCCTTCCCATGTTATACATGTATATTAATTCTTACTTTTGAATTAAAAGATGTTAAAGGGGAAAGTGTAAATCAAACTTCAAATTTTAAGCCAACCTTTTCTTAAATTAAAGCATTTGCAGTCTTCAGTATTAATTGATAAGAAAAGACCAACAACTTACTTTTCCTCTTGATTTTTCAGAAAGGTGCAAAACTCAGAACCCGAGAGGCTGTCCTGAAAGTTAAAAGCAAACACACATTTGAAGATTTACAGATATTATGTAACACTTAATTTACAGTATGTTTCTACTATTTAACTTTTTTTATTATGTATCTGTTACTTACATTGTTGTCACATGCTTCTCCGAAGAACTGTCCTGTAGCTGTCTTTATTTTGTTGTAATTATAGCTTCCATTTGGATATTTATATTCTGAGCTATTATTAAATTCAAATGACTGATTCCTTCCAGTGGATGCTAAAAATCTAAATAATTGTTAAAGAACAAAGTATACATGTACCAATTACGAAGATCCAGTGCCACATATAATGACAAGGGCTGTAACCCAGCATAAAAAATATACCCTCGAATCATCGTGGCATTACAGTTAATTTGTAATAAAGTGCTTCAAGACTGAATATTTGAGATGTTTGCTATTTATCACATGTACAAACAATAATTCTCCTTATTTTAAAATGATTTTAACTCATACATCATTTGTTATTTGTTCAGAGGGTCATTGAATTCTTGCATAGTTGCTCTTTTGATTTTTTTGCTGACGTCATATGTTTTCATGGTATTTATAAAACAAGTAAACTATGGAAATCTAGTCGGGCAAAATCCTTATAAATTTTACAATGTCAAAAATACTAATTGACATGGAAATTTATTTGTTGTTAATTAAGACCACATCTGTCTAGGCGTGCCTAAGCTATATTCCTAAATAATGTAAAAAAAATTCTCTTTCTGAAGAGTGGCCTAGATGTAATTTTGTAAAGCTTTATTTGAATGTTTCATGTTTTAAAATATAAATTCCATGTATATTTAAAGAAATTAAATGTTTAATTCAATTGATTATCAATGCCACAAATATTTTTTTATCATATAACTTTTTAACACCCCCGATATTTTCTTTGAAAATTATATAAAAAATGACGCTACTAGATCACCGTAGAAAAAATATCAAAAGTGGGAAATTCTAAATTATTGTCACATGACCAGTAGCTGTATGGATAGTTAACAGATGATGATATGCAGGATCACTGGCTATTAGTTTGTAAGTTTAGTATTCTAGTTCAAAACACGACAAATAAGAGTATATTATGCAAATTGTCAAATTTGCGAACTCACTCTCTATATTTTATGTTGGCAAAGGCAAAAAGTTTTAACATTTGATCATAAAACATGCACAGGGTTCCCCTTTACTAATAGCAAATGTGACGTCATTTCAGTCTCACATTGTGCAATTATTCCTAAATTAAAAAATACTACGAAAACGTATATACCACGAAAATACATAGTTCATCCCAACAATTGACAGCTAAGATGTGTTCTTCTATTATACATGTGCATCTTGGTCCATAAAAATTTGAGTAACTATCTAGAAAAAGTCAGATTTATCAATAGACAAAATATTTAGGTATATGGTTGATAAAGGATACACTGCTACGGTGAGCCAGAACCCCACAACTATTATCTGTAGGAAAAACGGGAAAATGGGACAAATGAGAGTAAACATCATGGTCCCCACAGCTCTGAAAAACAAAACAGATATAAGCTCAATCACTAAAGTAACATTTGAACATTTTTTCTTAAATAAGAATGTTTGAAACCAGCTAAATGCACTGCAGCTCAGTTGAAGCCAATGCCACTTACTTGCTGCCTTCCTTGATCAGAGAGATGGCAATCCTGATCCTTGAGCACAGGATTAGCAGGATTAGGAGTAAAATTAGGAGGATTACTCCAGATATTATACCTATAAACAGAATAAAAACAATAAATTTGTTCTTAGTGGAGACCAAAATAATCCAAAATATATTTATCCAGCTATAGAATAATTATAGTTTAAGAAATGTGGGTTCTATTGCAATGATTATTTTATTCACTGAAACATTGCCAAAATCAGTTTGCAAAGGTGTGCATTAAAATTGCAACTGTTTTTCACAAAAGAAGATGGGTGAACATTGAACAAAGCTCACTGAATGCCTATAGCTTAAGATATATAAAAATTCAATTTGTGAAATAAGAAGTATGTAGAGTGAAATTCTTATTGCTCGCCTTGTTCACCCAATATCTTTTTATGTAGAGATTTAAGTTATCTCTTTTGAAGAACACATACCAAAAGCCAAGAAAAGCTTAGGTTTGGACATAGTCATCTGGATGACAGAGAACTGTATGTGGAATTCTTGATCCGAGTCCTTTAGTTCATAGTACTGGTACAATGTATACCCAGCAGCTGTAATTTGAACATAATAACACCGAGATGACAGATTTCCATGGAGAATGATATAGATTCTTTTAATAAAATAAATCCTAAACATAATAATTTCATGTTGAACTTCTCTTTTTTAGAATAATTAGATGCTAAATTACTCACAGAAGCCAAACAAGCCAATGAAAGCGAATATTGTGAACCAGACCATGAATCCAGCTATCCACCTCATGACAATAATCCAGAGGAGGGCGAAGATCATAGCCAGGAGCAGGCCTCTAAAATACCACAAGTAAGGAACCATATTACTATTTATGCCACAATTTCTTAAAGATATTTAAGGAATGAATTTATTTTTTGAAGATTCATGAGGTTATGAATTACGACGCTTCACGCCAGCATATTTCATGTAGCGCATTAGGGCATCATGATAATATGCTGGCATGAAGCATTGTAGTTCATGTACCTCATGAATCTTCAAAAAATAAATTCATTTCTTATTAGGTCTTTCCAGCTTTCTCTGGAAAGACCTATTGAAATTGTTCTGTTTATTATTATTATTTTTCCGCCACGTTACGTGTTTTTGAGTTTCAAGATTTATCGAAAAGATTTATAGACCACAAGAATGTACTTCGTAAATGATTTTTGCAGTTGACCCTGCGTATATGAACTTTGACAACTTTCGGAGTTACGACCCCTTTCGCAATAAAAGATTGTTATTGCTACTCCTCCGAAACTGTAAACCGCAGAGATTCCAAACCTTTTTTAATGTCTACGACTGATTTAGTAGACTCTTCAGTCAAAGATTGCGAAAGGATTCGTAAACTCCTATAATGAATTATTGCCCCTGAATGTTTGCGATGTTTACGAATATCAAGATATTTTCTTAAACGACAAGTTGTAGAGACATTGGACCAACTGCAAAAGATTCATTGAAGTTTGACCTTAAAGTTTAGGTCAAGGTCATTCAAAATATGTAAAATTAAGCATTTTTTATAGCTCTGTTGTTCTTCACCAAATTCTAAACATCTTTGCACCTTTAATATGTACTCTTAAAACCATTTTAAAGATTTCAATCTTGTCCCCTAAGATTGACCCCTCTAAAAGTTAGTTCCCCTTTCAGCGTAAACCCTTGTTATTGCTCCTCCTCCGAAACCGTAAACCGTAGAGGTACAAAACCTTCAACAATGTCTGCGACTAATTTAGTACACTTTTCATTCTATACGTGCAAAAGAATTCGTAAACCATTTTAAGCAGTTATTGACAGTTTCTCATGTTTACGAAGAACTGAAAACTTCTTAACGACAAGTCGTAAAGACATGTGGACAATGCATGAGATCTGTGGACCTTTGACCTTGAGGATAAGGTCAAGGTCAAAGGTCAAGGTTATTGGAAAAGTATCGAAATTGCTTATATTCGTTTTGGGGGGATGTTAAAATGACCTTGACCTTTGACCTTGACCTTTGATCTTGACCCTAACTCAAATTTATTTCAATTTTATTTAGATTTAATATTAATGGAATGAATCTGGAAAATAGCGAATTTTCCTATCAAATAAATTTCCATACTCTCGGTGACACAGTTTTCGTCATGAAATGCATGTTTCAAGTTAAATTTATGCTGATTACTATTAATTCAATCCAAATAGAGATGATTATTTAATCTTACCGATGAGTTCACCATATCTGTCAAAACAAACGCGCCTATATTTTCATAAATTGTAAACACAGTGCCGACACGGAAGTTTGAATGTATCATAAGCTCTGTGTGATTAACTCAATTTATTCAAAGTATAAACAAACTCATATGAATTGTTTTTACAGGAAATCGGTATTTTCATTATACAACAATCATGTTTCTCAGAACTATTCATTATTCTTCACTACATTCCATCACAAACAAATAGATACACGTGTTTCTGTAGCGTAGATCTGAGGGTCCCAAGTTCGAATCCTGCTGAGAGCACTTTTTTTTTTGCATTTTTCTTCTTTTTTTCAACACAAATGACACGTAAACACTTAAAAAGCTGGAAAGACCTCTTATTGTTCTGTGAACAATAAGTCTCCTAGTATTTACATTATTTTTCTGATGAGTTGCCACAAATTTACTCCATTCAATTGTCATTTGTAAAGCAAAACAGGCACAGTAATTTTGACATCAAGTGCGGTATTATGACGTAACAATGGAGATATTCATGCTTATCCATGGTAGTTCGGGAAAAAATTAACAGTCTTCCTATTTGCAAAGAATTTTTTGGAAAATTATTTGGAAATGTAACTATTCACAATACATTTGTACATGTTGTCTGCACTGACATGAAAACAGAGAACAGCTTACTGCTAGAATTTCTTTTTTCTGAATTTTAACTGCCAACCATTTAACACTAATGTTCAAACAAGTTTTCTAACAGCTATTCCAACCATGTTCTAGATATTCAGTATTCAATATTTTGGATGTTCCTCTGTTGTTGAAACAACAATGTTATTAATCAATCAGTTCTGCTTTTAAAGGATGAAACTAAGAAGGGATAACTCTTACTAGCTGCAGATCTGTAGCTTGCTGGTCTGAAAAAATTGAGATGGATGATCAGAGAGCTACAGAGCAACCTACTGAAAAATCTGTATATTTATTGCACAAAAAAAATGCACTCGATTCTGAATTAATTACTCCAAATTATTACCTCAACTGCACAAAATCTTCATTTCAAAAACATTCTTTAGACCCCTATCAACTATTCTTGTAGTTCACTGTTGACATGCATCTGCACAAAGCATGTTGGAAAGAATTATCTTGCCACCCAAAATGGGAGTATTAATGGGTGAAATCTTAGATGCATGGTCTCAATTTAAGGCCTAGGAGGGCTATTAAGAAAAGGTTATAAAAAATATTTTCTTGTATGAAAAAGTTAGAGAATCTGTTAGGAACACATGGTTTGTAATTTTTTAAGGTGGCAGTTTGAAAAAAAAAAAAAAAAACAGAGAGAAATAAATTGAGGCCCAGCACACTTTTTTGTGTGCAATAGGTATACACTTTTTTTTCAGTGGGTGGCACTGTAGCTCTCTGGACTGTCTAATATTTTTGGAGAGCTACAGTTCTGAAGCTAACTTTCTTACATGAGTATCATCCACCATGCTGTGATCACATCTTCTATGATCTTTTCTCCATATTCTTTGGCTTTAAGAAATACTCCGTACACACTGTGTAAGAAAAAGTCAGATCCATAACTTATCAGTGAATTCACTAAAATAAATACTGTACTGTGAATATAATTTTAAGTTGGAAAGCTATGATGACATATGAAGAAACATACCTCAGCCCAGCCTCCATGACAGCACTGTCATATGGTTGTCCATTTGCATCTGTAGCATTGGCATTTGAATTGGAAATTTCATCAGCCAAATTTGCACCTTTCTCCAGAACGTCAATCAGGAAGGAAGGGACACATCTATTTATTACTAAAAAAGCAAATGTAGTTTGTGTGGAATTGATAGTATTTTGTATAAGTTCACCTGAGAAAAAAGATCAAGTGAGCTTTTCTGATCAACTTTAAAAACTTACATGAACTGCTCTTGATCCAGTATGTGGCACAGTCCTCATCAGACAGCAAGTTTTCAACAGACTATAAACAGATAATTCCAGATATATTTATACAATGCCAACTTTCTTAAAAAAAAATATTTTAAAAGACTTGAAGATATCATTTTTTTCTTTTCTGGTAACTGTTAAGGCCAGGCTTTAAGCCGCTTAGGTGACATATTGCTATCTGTTTTCGTCCTTCATCATGCAAAATACATTAAACATTTGAACATTTTCAGCTTCTCAACCAGTTTTGGCGTATAGCATTTATGGGTAAAAGGGAACACAAATTGTGAATTTCATAGTCCCTGTCCCCCTGGAGCCTGAGGGATGGGGACAAAACAAATAAAATTAATGTATTCTTTAGAAATCTTCTTTACTCCTTGACATCAAGCAGTCAAACTGTTGGCATGGTTGTAATAAGCATTGAGACCTCTACCCGAAATGTGAAATTCATGGCCCCAGGGTCAGGGGTTCTAGTGCTAGGATGGGCTATAAAAATTATGTAGTGAAACTGCATTATTTCTTTGAAAATATTCTTCTATGCTCCTGGATATTAAACAAAAAAACTTAATGTATAGTTATGATCAGGAAGGGTTTCTCTTCCAAATTGTAAATTTCATGGCCCGTGGGTCAGGGCTTCTGGTGTTAGGAAGGGGCTATATAAATTATACAGTGAAAATGCATTAAACCTTTGAAAATCTTCTTCTCTGGCCTTGGGTATTAAATAAACTAACTCAGTAGAAGAGTAATGATGAGCAAGAATGCCTCTTCCTGAATTGTGAATTTCATGGCCCCAGGGGAAGGGGTTCTGATATGAGGGTGGAACTATATAAATTATATAGTGAAAATGAATTAATTCTTTAAAAATCTTCTTCTCTGCCCCTGCATGGGTATTACTGTAAATTCCTTATTTTTCGCGAGTACTTTTTATCGCGAACTGGATCTTTAACGTATAATTCGCGAATGGACGGTTGATCAACAGAATTTACATAGACTTTAGCACCATAAAAATAAAAGCGAGTAATATTTTTTCGCGAGTGATGCTTCTCGCGAAATTACGCGGAAATTAATTTCTCGCATATAATTAGGAATCTACAGTACCTGGTAAACAAACTAACTACATACATAGTTATGAAGAGCAAGTGTGCTTCTTCCAAAATTGTGAATTTCATTGTCCAGGGGTTGGGCGGGGCTTTATTGATTATATAGTGAAAATGCATTTATTCTTTGAAAATCTCCTTTATATTTAGCAGGTGATCTACCTATGTTATTATAATGTGCAAAGGTTCATCTTTTGAAATTGTGAATTTTAAAGGCCCAGAGTCAGATGTACCATAGAGGGGGGAGGGGCTCTAAAGATTATATACTGAAAATGAATTAATGCTTTAAAATCTGTTCCTTGGTATTAATCAAACATTTATGATGAGCAATGGTGCCTTTTCTAAAATTGTGTGTCCCCATGGTCAGGGGTTCCTGTGGGGTCGGGGCACTATTGATTATTGCTGATTATTACTGATTATTTTTTTATTTGTTCCCCTACTTTGCTTATGGGTATTAAGTAACCAAACTAAGCATGCTAAGAGTATAGTTATGATGAGCAATGGTGCATCTAAGTCTTTCAAAATTTTGAATGTCATGGCCTCTGGTTTAAAACACAAATCAAATTCAATTATTCGAAAGTTGTTACATGATTCTCAGGTGACCTATAAGGCTATAAGGGCCTTGGGCCACTTATTAATACCATATTCTGCTGGATCACCTTTACCTTTGAGCTTGTTTGTGCATCAACACCATCTTTGCAGTACTTGAGTTCTGATGCTGAACTGAACTTTGTCACTACATTGTTCTGTGTTGGACATTCTGCTACACAAATCTAGAAAAGAGAGTGAGTTTTCCTTGTTAATATATATATAAGGATGCAAAACAAAGGAAACAGTTAATTCCATATACATGTAGTTAACATTTTTTTTCCTTCTTCAAATCTATAAAAAAAAATATCATAATTGAATAATGAAATTTTATTCTGCATAAATAAAATCACAAAATTAAAGCTAACCCACCTGAGGGGTGGGACATCCTTTAACAAACACCCCTACCCCCATCCGACCACATGCTATCAGGTCAAAGAACAACAGGTATGGCTTACCCCTGCAAAAGATGAGTACATGTATAAATATTGTCTGAAAAGGCAAGTTAAAATGTTCAATGAAATACCAAGGCTCTAAATACAAATACTAAGGCTCATCATCTCTTGCAATTTTTTGCACCGATTTTCAAAAAAATCTAAATCATCATAAGTAATTGATTTTTGCACAATTTGACAGAAAAAATCTTTTTAATGCCAGTAAGAGTTATCTCTCTTTTCAGAGGGTCAATGACCTTTAACTTTCATTTATTGTGCATAATGTTCAAAGTCATACATGCATTTAAGTGACAGTGAATACTAAAATAAATATCCAATGAAAAAATGTAAAGTTAGTGAAATTTTTTTTATTTTATTAATACATTTTGGAATGTGAATGAAATCTAGCTTGACTATACTTTAATTTACTTACGTTTGTTTGCCATATCCACAGATCTCATTGTTGGAATTTACTGGATAGACTAGCAGTCGAGGATCACCGTATTTGAATGCTTAATTTAAAAAAAAATTCAATATTTAAATATTTACAATTATTATTTACAATACAATGTGGTGCGTTTTTACGTTTAAATGATGTGTGTTATCTGTCTCTTTGATGGGAGTTTTTCTAGCTCCTCTTGTCATCTGTGGTACTGGTTAAAGTTTTCTAAAATCAATATTTTACCAAAATACTAACGGATTATAAATAATGAAGGAGGTACAATGATTTTTTGTAGAAGGGGGAGGAGGGGGGCTCTGTTTATCTGTTCATCCCACAGGCACTTGTTTCTGTAATGAATTTTTAACCCATATACAGCAAAACTCAGTTATAACGAAGTCACTGGGACCTATGATATTACTTCGCTATATCCGTAATTCGTTATAAACGTATAAGAAATTCATTTATTTAAATTCATATTGCCGGGGATCTAAGATGACTTCGCTATATCTGTGAATTTGCAATATCCATGTTCATACTAAACAAGTTTTACTGTAATATAACAATAACAATAGGTTTACATGGAGTACCCCCCCCCCCACTCCCCAGAGTCACACTCATTTACACTTTCAGTGGAAATGCATTGGTTTATTGTTAATTACCATAATTGTCTTTTATGATAACATTTATGTGGTTCATCCACATGAACTTGTGCTCAATCTCCGGAAGCTTTTAGGGAGAAACTGAGCAATACATGTAATTTTGTAAGAGTTACAAAGTTCCACTTCAGTGTAAAATAATTCATCTAAAATTGTCCGTCCCCTGACAATCAGGTACCTAGGGCTTGTTGGACATTTCTTCACAAAGTATATTAAATACATGTTTATACTTATTTATCATGTTTACATTATACTTCAGCTTGTCATTCTGGGATTAAAAATACGTATTTTTTATTTCAGTTTAAAATAGTGGTTCACATTGTCTCTACACATATTTCTGTCTTAGTTTGCTATCAGTTTGACTCTGCATCTTGTAAGAATCCCACAAATAATCCTTAGACATGATTGCTACTCAGTGTGTACCAATTTCTAGCCATCCCGGATACTGAGTAAACTAACTGTACAAAGGCACTAATATTGTTAAAACATTTGAATCTATTAATAAGTTTTAATTAAGTGACTTTGAATACTAGTATCCGACCTAAAAATGATTGTACTTGTAAAATCTATAAAGGTTATATGAAATACACTTCCTGTGTGAGTGTACAGTACTCACCAAAGAAAGCCACAACCACGAGCCCCGCAATAAATATGACAAATAACAGGCAACATATTATGTCCGTACACGATCTGTAAAAAATAAAATTATTTTTCAAATGGAAATTTATTTTATTCTTATTGACAAAATAACAGTAATTATCTCTGATAAGCTTGAGTGTTTTTACCTGTTTTTGATTGGGCCTGGATTCTTTTCATATGTCAGTGGTTTACCTGAAATTATGAGAAAAGAATATAAACAGATCAATAATGTGGATATTACACCTGCAGAATTTTGAAACAGAAACAGCAGACTTGTATTTGTAAAGACCTCTGCTAGGTTTCTTATTGGATGAAAATTCGACCTCATATATATAAAATAAAAAATTTGTTGAATAATAAAGCAACATTTAGATCGCTTTCGAAAAAGACAAAAACTGAACAGTTTCATCCAATAAACAAGTTCAAGGTGAAAAAATCAATGTAATTTTCAAAGCAGCACCTGAAAAACTTCATCTTGAATTACATGATGGGCAGAATTGAGATGATCTAAATAATTCATCCACAACCAGGAGAGTATTATGCAAGGTTCCTGCATGGGTTCCATTCCCAGTCAGTCCTAAATTTTCCCCTTTCCTATTATTTCAGAATGCTATTGGCCACCCATTGACTTGCAGATAAAAATCCTTTTATAGTGGTTTGGATATATGGATATCAGCCTGGTTAACTCAGTGGTTAGAGCACCTGACTAGTCATGCATGGTACCTATATAATGGTGCCAATTTCTAGGTTGAGAAAAATTGTTTTTCCTTTCCTCTAAAGTTTGATGGTGTTTAAGAACCTTTGCTTAGTTGTGTCTTTAAAGGAAAACATAATTTAAGGAGGAAAAGAATGTAGTGGTTTGGGCATGGATATTGACCTGGTTAATCAGTGGTAACACCACCTGACTAGATAATGATGCTGGGTTCCTGGTTCTGTTCCAGGTTCAGAAATAAATTTCTCAATCCTTTCCTAGTTTTAACAAATGTCAGATGTCTAGTGTAGGTCCCCATCATTCTGCTCTTTGATTGATCATTACAATAAATATCAGTGCCTTGTTTGGTACTTTAGGACTCATTTCATGATTTGGCCCTTCACATCATGACTATAATTACATACAAACACTATAGTATTACTCATACCAAAAAGATAAAGATCTTTTTTGTTCTTTATGTTTAAACAGGAAGTGTCACATAGAGATGCTAATCACCCTCAGTCAAAATGTAGTACTATACATTATTTTAAAAAATACTAGTTTCCTTCAAGTAAAAATAATAGCATAAGTATTTTCATTTGAAATAGCCATATGGATATCTTTATTATTTAAAACAATAAAACCAGAAAACATCCATGTGTATAGTTGAAATAGACATTCCAGAAAGGGATCAAACTTAATTGAGCACATGCATCAGCAGTGACATAATCCCAAATGGCCAACATAAAAATGGCATCAGGTCTATATATTTCAGTAGAGGACATAATTTCTAGTTTTTATAACATGAACCTTGATTTATTCAGCACATATCCCAATGGCTACAGGTTATAAGAATAATAAATTCTAGGAATGGGCATTGTATGGAAAATGATAACCCCAGATGGATTTCCCAAATGTGGCCTTGAACTTATCTAAATGACCTCTAGAACTTACTAGCATTTTCTTCAAATATGAACTTACAATGGCCAAAAAAAAAAAAAATTCAGAAGAAAATATAATATTGGCATGGAAATGGAAACAATGATAAAATTACAAACTATCATTACAATAATTTCTATATCCCATCCCACTCAAAAAAAAAATTCTTTCAGAGTATATCGTCAGGCTGTACGTACTGTACCGGTAATCCAAATGGTATGTATGTTTTATAATTATACTATTAAGTCCAAATTCAAGTTTATCTCGATAACCATATTTTTCCTCATCATTAAATAAATATACAAATATCGTTATAAAACTAAATCTAACCCACCATATTTTTCCTCATCATAAACAGCTTCTCCAAAGTCAAACTCATCCTCCTCCTCCTCCTCCCCCTCTTTTTTCTCTGGGGGTGGATCTCCTGTGGGTGGGGAGTCCCCATTATCAACCTCAAGTTCAATGTCTTTAGACTCCATATAATTATTAACTATAGTCACAATCTAGTTTCACTAGATATCTTTAGTGAACTCGCACTCAGAAAGCTAGTTCAAGTTTCTTATACATGCATAATTATGACACATTTTTCGATTCATCCATTAAGACTAACACACTTTCATCTGATTCAGCAGCTAATTATTACTTCCCGTTTCTTATTAAAAAAAAATTTCAAACTGAAACACGCATCAGTTCAGATTGAAATTTAAGTTCATTCAGTTTGATATTTAGAAGACATGGACACATTTTAAAAACTGGGTGTAACAACTCTACACTAAGATAACAATATGTATATATCCTTTGATAAAATGCTGCTAAGCTGAAATTCACTTTAAGTCAATCAATTGCTCTTTCATAAACATGACATTTATCCAAACTGTTGGTATGGCAACTGTCATTTTCATCCAATGACAGAACTATATCCACTGGTCTTATAGGTCACAATTATCTCTCTGTTCTCAAGTTTCTAAGAAATGTACAGTAACAAAGCTGTGATATTAATACAATAAGTATCAGTTTCAGTGGACAGGTTCTCCAGTATCTTAACATTATGCAATCACTGCTGCATATATTTTACAAGCCAGTAGCATCATATCCTGTTTTGTTGAAATTATATTCAGAACCTTATACACGTCGTTGATGTCTAGCCAAGCTATCTTATTCAATAAGGATAAAAATTTCCTTCCAATTATGATTATTTTTTATGTCAACATAATTATGATAAACAGTTTTGTGACTGGAACAGTCACCTTCATACACGCATTAGCTAGGTATTTGTACTATATTAGTCAATATGCTTGTTTTTCCATCACCTCATGCTGTAATATATATAAAACTGCACGACAAATTACTCCATGTTATTGATACACCTAATTAAGTCCCTGATAAGAATTATACACAAGGGCCATTTCTTGCAGATGGTGAACTGTTATAGCTTTCTGCTCATATTACATAGATTTTTCAAGTAAGATAGATTTTTTATTGAGCAAAGAATATTTTGTGACATGTCATAGATCAAGGAGGCTTACACTAAAATTTGTCTCAAGATTAATAGTTTTCCTTGTAAATTTATTTAATCCCTGTGGTTGAGCATTTTTTCAGCATGCATTCAAACTGTCTAGATTTCGATCCCCTCCTTTTGTTATAATTCCAGCACATTTCAATATAGATCGAGCAACATATTATATAAGTGTTTCATAAAATGGAAGGAAACAATTAAACAGAATTGGTTTATAACAATTTCCATCATTATATACTTGTAAAAAGTGGTCTTGAATAATTTGTAGGATGTCCTGCTAAGTAAGTGAACTAGAATAAATTAAATTATAATGTACATCTGACAAAAATTTTTAAAAGTAGGTCAAACAGGTAGATCAAGGTCAAAGGATCAATATTAATGGTACCCAGTGAGGGGAAGACCTTGTCATAAGAAATACACTTGTAAAATTTAAAACCCTATTATCATCAACTGTTCAAAGGCTATGGTGAAGCCTTTTTTTTTTCAAATGTACAATGAAGCGCATTGAAGTGGTAAAATTTTCCGTTTGGATGAAACGTTCTGAGTCATGTTTTGAATGTCAATTATAACAGAATGGCACGCCCATTTCTTTAGAAACGAACAAGAAATATTCGTCGTAATGTTTTACGATACACCACACTTTGCGACAAGCAACATGAGTTACACCGAAATGGATATTCTTAACGTTATGAGAGTTTTAGAGATCGAGTTCCAGATCCTCTGAAACACGTATTGCAACTAATTTGTACATAATTATGAATTTATCATGTTTATTGGAGTTTCAATACAATGAAGCGCATTGAAGTGGTAAAATTTTCCATTTGGATGAAACGTTCCGAGTCATGTTTTGAACGTCAAATATAACATAACGACACGCCCATTTTTCTTTAGAAATGAGAAAGAAGTATTCATCGTAATGTTTCAGGACACCCCATTTTCCGCAACAAGCAACATGAGTTACACTGAAATGAAGATTTTTAAATGAGAAAGAGCTATATATAGAGTTCCCGCTTATGTAAAACAGGCATTGCAGCGAATTTTACATAATTATGATTTTATCATGGTTATTGGAGTTAGCATAGCACATGTATCAGTCGAACACGTGCTTACTGGGTGTTGATGTAGGCCGCCAATTTCATTGGCTATTATATTTATAGAATACCTGTTCTACAGGTATTCGATTAAATCATTTGACCGATTTTCCCTTTCTAAAGAAATGGGCGTGTCTCAAGATAGCTCAAAACGTTCCATCCAAACGGAAAATTTTACCACTTCAATGCGCTTCATTGTAACACATGTATCGGTCGAACACATGCTTGCTCTGTGTTTATGTAGACCGTCAATTTGATTGGCTGTTATATTTTTAGAATACCTGTTCTATGGGTATTCCAATGAACCATTTGAACGATTTTTACTTTCTAAAGAAATGGGCGTGCTATTGTATGACAATCAACGTTCTAAAGATAGCCCAAAACGTTCCATTCAAACGGGAAATTTTACCACTTCAGTGCGCTTCATTGTAGGTCAAACTCTGAGGTCAAGGTCAAAATTATCTGTGTTCTAAGGAAGGTCTGTCATAAGGAATATATCCATGAAATATGAAAAGCCTAGTACTAACTTTTTAAACTTTAAGGTTCTGACAAAAGGTAAAAAATATCTAACCAATGAAATGGTCTTGTCACAAAAAATATGTGAAATATGAAAGTCATGGCACCAACTGTTTTTAAAATGTTAAAGCCAAGATTAACATTTGGAAAAAAAATTGGAAAAAGTGGGTCAAGCTCCAAGATCAAGAGGTCAGATATGTTGGTACCCAATGAATGTCTTGTCATAGGAATACACATGTGAAATACAAAAGCCATATCCAACCAATTTAAAGTTATGGGTAAGGATGCTGCAAGGCTAAGGTTTTTGTGGACATACAGACAGACAGACAGCTAGATATATAGATTTAAGTCAAACACTTTAGCCTTCAATAAAATAATTGGTCTTTGTTACATGTCCAAAAATATTTTAGGATCAGGAAAAACCTCTACATAATAATTATTTACAAATACTCTCCAACTTTAGAAAATGGGGAAATACACCCATTTTAATTTTATAACTTCTATTATGTGTGTGTTTTGACAAGTTAAGGAAGAAACTCAAATGAAAAGGAAGGGCTGTATTCATTTCCTTCTGCAATATGTCATCTTGCACAATCACTGAGTGATCTTTTGATGAAAAGGTAAAAAATCCATGATATAATAAACATTTTCACAAGCCAAGGTTTTTTGTCCATTTCTTTCTTCATCACCATAACGCGAAGCAGATTCAAACCCCTTGGTGTGAAAAGATGGATTATTATACAGTTAAAGTATATTATTGGGGGAGTTAGCAATACTCAAGTTTCCCAAGCCCAGGACTTTTTCCCAATTAAGGCACAGCCGAGTAGTCCTGGTCGGGGGGAAGTGAAATCTTGCCAACTCTATCAATCAGATGTACATGTACTTCTTAGCTGTTTTAATATTGAACATATAAAGATTTGATTGCTTATTCTTCATTATGTGTATAGAAGATTTTTTATATGGAATATTTATCACACTGTAATGATGATTTTATAACCTCATAAATTTTTCATTTCACATGCTGAATACTATCATTTAGAAAAAAAAGTATTTAAAAAATAAAAAAAAAGAAAGGTCCGACCGAGAATCGATCCCGGGACCTCTCACACTTGAAGCGAGAGACGTGAAGTATATGCAGAAGTGAAGTCACATACATGTATTTATTCACGTTTTCATATGGTATTTGATTTATTTAATCTTTATTAAACAGTTCAAAAGATGTAAAAAAAAACTTCTTAGATGTGTTTATTGAAGATGCTAAATTTCATTGCAAAAGCTCTCTTGAAATATCGCCCAGAAATAATAGATACAGAATGTATAAATTTACGACCTTGAAAAATTTATTTGCTTATTTATGACCTTGAGACCTCAAAATCAATAGGGGTCTTCTTTAGTTCATAGGGAGTTGCTATGCTAAATTTCATTGCAAAAGCTCTTAGGGTTCTCGAGATATCGTGTGGAAACGAAAGCGTTACAGACAGACAGAAAGACGGACGGACGGACGGACGGACAAACCCAAATTAATATCCCCCACTTTTCAAGCGGGGGACAAAAAAAAAAAGATGTGTTTGTGAAATACTGATGCCCCTATATGGCAGCTTATGGCAAGGGTTCAAATTTCACAGAATGTAAGTTTAACTCCAAAGGTTAAGGTCAAAATTGTTGGTATCTAAAGGAAGGTATTGTCACAAGGAATACACCTGGGAAATATGAAAGCCATAGCTTTAACTGTTCAAAAGTCATGACCAAGGTTAAAGTTCATAAATTGTGGGTCAAACTCTGTGGTCAAGGTCAGAAGGTCAAAATTTTATACCCACTGAAAGGTCTTGTCATAATGAATACACATGAGAAGCATGAAAGCCCTGGCTCCAATTGTTCAACAGTTATGGCCAAGGTTAAAGTGTGAGAATTTTTTTGTAAAAGTGGGGCAAACTCCAAGGTCAAGAGGTCAATTTGGTGGTGCCCACAGAAAGGTCTTGACACAAGGAATTCACTTGTGAAATATGAAAGCCATAGCCCCACCCACTCAAATGGTTTGAGCAATTTTAAAGTGTTTGAACAGACAGATGGACAGACAAGGCAAAAGCTATAAATCCCCAAATCTTCGATTACTGGGCATAAAACTTACAGAATTATGGATATTTATAAGTGGGAATTAGCTTTCGGAGTGGGGATTAGTTCATTTGACTAATGCACGGGGATTAGTCCAACATACCGATACAAAAGTAAGATCTACAGAATTACATATAACTGTTAATTAGCTACCAAATCTAGACTAATTAACGTACAGGAATTCGTCCATTCACAGTGATCTTTTAAGGAAATATTCACAATTAACTATCTAATTCTAACAAAATGAAAAATCAGTAGAGGTAAGATGAATGATATTAAAAAAGGATTGATGCAAACAATGAGAAAAAGATGAAAAGGGAAAGGTCCCTTCCCTAAGAAAACCAGAGGACTAATACATTTAGAGCATGATAGATTTCTGAGATACTGCATGACAATGACAGATAATTTACTCCCAAAGACACTTTCAATAGGTTAATTCTAGATCTGATCTTCTATGTATATTTATGTATACACATTTCTTAGAGGAAATAAATTTAGTATGAAACAGATGTACAGCTACATCTTGTGTAACTGACTCATGGAATAAAAATTCAAAGACCTGAGGCAAGAAAATGCTGTCATACATAGTATCTGGTTAAATTGTAATTGCGTGCATTTCTGAATAAGTGATTGAATAAATTAAAATTGTACTACTGGTTGTGACAAAACTATATATATATATGCAGTGGCCAGATAAGTTCTGTTGGTAAAGCACCTAACTTCAGATTCAGGGGGCCCTTCTAATCCAAGGCATTTTTTTTTCCTTCTCTCCCATTTAATACATTTGGTGCCATTGACCGCCCCTTGACTTGCAGATGAAAGTCATGCCAGGGGAAAATGAGAACTTGGGTTGTGTCTTCCAGGGCAAAGACGATTTATGA